AGAAAAATAATACTGCTAGATCAAGTTAGAAATATTCAAGGTTTACACCATGAAGGTTGCAAAGATATAAAGATGTTACATTTAACTCTTCCTTTGAATAGAAACAGTATTTTCATATTGATTTTAGATTGTTATATTCCTCTTTATTCTTGAAATCCCCAAAAAATCCAATCCCCAAAAAAGCGTAACTGTTAAAGTTTAAATCAATATTCCTTTAAAAGATAAAAGTGTGCCAGGTTTACGAAGGGTGTTCATAAATTTTACAGAAAACGACCAAATTTTGAAGAAAAAATTCACATCTGTCAATTTAAAGAAAAATTGTTTTACTCACAAATTGTAAATTGAAAGAGAAAATGACATTTGAGTTATTTTGGGACAGCCTTTATAATCTATAAAATATTTGCATGAAATTAGAAAAATTGAAAGATTGATATCAATTTAGAAGCTTTAACACTGTAAATTCTCGGCAATTTCCTTTAACTGTAAATATTCACAAGGTGCAATAAAAACTGTTAAACTGTACACTGTAAACTATTATCAGTAGTTTTAAGGGCTGGTTTTTGGCACTGTAAATTTACGTTTTACAATTTACAGTGTGAACCAGAAAACTGTTAAATTAATGTTGACTTTGTTTTGCTTTCTTTTTTGAAGGATTCTGCAATTTGAAATTGACTCTTGACTGTTGACTGTTGACTGTTGACTCTTGACTCTTGACTGTTGACTCTTGACTCTTGACTCTTGACTCTTGACTCTTGACTCTTGACTCTTGACTCTTGACTCTTGACTCTTGACTTTTGTCTCTTGACCCTTGTCTTTTGTCTCTTGATTCTTGACTCTTGACGCTTGACTCTTGACGCTTGATTCTCGACTCTTGACTCTTGTCTCTTGACTCTTGACTTTTGACTTTTGACTCTTGACTCTTGAATCTATACATNATTGGACCGTTAATGGGTCTAAATTACGATTTCCGGGACTAATCAGAAAATAAAATTAGAATGAATCATTTTGAAAAATAAAATAAGGCTTATGTAAGAATTTTCTTGTGAAAAATGACAAGTTTTTCGAGTATTAAGGGTTTATTTCGGCGTTAAAGCTTGGAGATAATCTAACATGATATGGGACGCTCAGTATGTTCATGTAAACTATCTTCTGGGCCATCCATGTAGATTCATGTAAATCCTCTTAAGGGCCATTCATGTAGATTCATGTAAACTATCTTCAGTGCCATCCATGTAGATTATTGTAAAACCTCTTCAGGGCCATTGATGTAGATTTATGTAAACTATCTTCAGGGCCATTCATGTAAATTCATGTAAACTATCTTCAGGGCCATTCATTTAGATTCATGGAAACTATTTTCAGGGTCACCCATGTAGATTCATGTAAACTGTCTTTAGGGCCATCCATGTAGATTTATGTGAACTATCTTCAGGGCCATTTATGTGGATTCATGTAAACTATCTCCGGGACCATCCATGTAGGTTCATGTAAACTATCTTCAGGGCCATTCATGTAGATTCAAGGAAACTATCTTCAGTGCCATCCATGTATATTGGTGTAAACTATCTTTAGGACGATCCACGTAGATTCATGTAAACCTCTTAAGGGCCATTCATGTAGATTCATGTAAACTATCTTCAGGGCCATTTATGTGGATTCATGTAAACTATCTTCAGGGCCATTCATGTAAATTCATGTAAACTATATTCAGGGCCATTCATTTAGATTCATGGAAACTATTTTCAGGGCCACCCATGAAGATTCATGTAAACTGTCTTTAGGGCCATCCATATAGATTTATGTGAACTATCTTCAGGGCCATTTATGTGGGATCATGTAAACTATCTCCAGGACCATCCATGTAGGTTCATGTAAACTATCTTCAGGGCCATTCATGTAGATTCAAAGAAACTATCTTCAGTGCCATCCATGTATATTGGTGTAAACTATCTTTAGGACCATCCACGTAGATTCATTTAAACCTCTTCAGGGCCATTCATGTAGATTCATGTAAACTATCTTCAAGGCCATTAATGTGGATTCATGTAAACTATCTTCTGGGCCATTCATGTAGGTTCATGTAAACTATCTTCAGGGCCATTCATGTAGATTCAAGAAAACTCTCTTCAGGGCCATTCATGTAGATTCAAGGAAACTATCTTCAGGGCCATTCATGTAGATTCAAGGAAACTATCTTCAGGGCCATTCATGTAGATTCATGGAAACTATCTTCAGGGCCATCCATGTAGATTGATGTAAACACTCTTCAAGGCTATCCATGTAGATTGATGTAAACGATCTATAGTGCCATTCATGTAGATTGATGTAAACGATCTATAGTGCCATTCATGTAGATTGATGTAAACGCTCTTCAGAACCATTTATGTAGATTGATGTGAACATTCTTCAAGGCCATTTCTGTAGATTGATATAAACGCTCTTCAAGGCAATCAATGCACATTGATGTAAACGATCTTAAGGCCCATCCATGTAAATTTATGTAAACTACCTTTAGGACCATCCATGTAGATTCATGTAAACCTTTTTAGGGCCATTTATGTACATTCATGTAAACTTTCTTCAGGGCCATCCATGTAGATTCATGTAAACTATCTTTAGGACCATCCACGTAGATTCATGTAAACCTCTTCAGGGCCATTCATGTAGATTCATGTAAACTATCTTTAGGGCCATCCATGTAAATTTATGTGAACTATCTTTAGGGCCATTTATGTGGATTCATGTAAACTATCTTCAGAACCATTCATGTAGGTTCATGTAAACCTATCTTTAGGGCCATTCATATAGATTCACGTGAACTATCTTCAGGGCCATCCATGTAGATTCATGTAAACGCTTAATGTGTGTAGATACTGTTGAGGGCTATTTATGTTAACAATGTTTAGGCCAATAACGTCACTATTTAAGGCATTGATACAAATACTCTTTAGGCCATGTCTCTTAGAAGTATGCAAACTTTAGGCCATTCATGTAGACAAACTTTAAACTATTCATGTAAACAAGTTTTAGACCATTTATGTAAACAAGCTTTAGAATCATCAATGTAAACTAACCTTTAAGGGCCATTAAGGTAAAAATTCTTTACGCCAAGGATGTAAAACATCTTTGGTTAGCGTTATCGATGAAGACACTGTAGGGTCTTTGTTTGCGGTTACAAAACTTGTAGGAACAATAATAACAAACTTCAGGGTCAAACGTAAACAAAACGAAAAAAAACAACTTTTTTTCTCCGTTCATGCAAACCATAAACAAATCTTTAGAGCTATTCATGAAAACAAATATCGAAGCTCCTCCCTCCAGCTGCAGTAAAAACCTTTATCCATAATGTGCCCCCCCCCCCTCCTCCTGTTTTAGACCCATAAAATATGAGTTCATGGAATATCCCTTCCTCTCCTGCACCCAACCATCCCTATCTCTCTTAATTTCAATCTCACCCCCCTTTCTAAACTCCCCTATTCATTTCCCCCACCCAAAGGACCATTCAAACTGGTTCCCCTCTTTATCCCCCCCCCCTCGACTCCTTCCCCCTCCATACACCATGAATTTTCTTTTGTTTCCCTGCTGCGGGGTTACGCGCTGTAAATAAAAATCAATCTGATCTGGTGGACATCAGGGGCGGAGTCAGGGTCACGGAGATACAGAGTAAAGATACAGAGCTCGATACAGAGCTATATACGAAGCTAAATACAGAGCTAGATACGGAGCTAGATACAGTGCTAGATACAAAGCTAAATTAGGAGCCAGATATAGAGCTAAATACAGAGCTAAATACAGAGCTTTATTCAGAGCTAGATACAGAGCTAGATACAGAACCAGACACAGAGCTAGATACAGAGCTAGATACAGAGCTAGATACGTAGCTAGATGCGGAGCTAGATACAGAGTATAAATTTAGCTAGAAACAGAATCAGATACAGAGTAGAAATTGAACTATATGAGGGGTATGAAAAGGGTATGTAAAAATGGGGAATGGGATGTGGTAAAAAACAATTAAGGAATATGTAGGGGTAAATTAAATATAATTGAAAATGAGAGAGGAAAGGAACGGGAAAGGCAAGTAGAGAAAGAAAAGAGAAGAAAAATTGAAAATGAACTTTATACAATTATAAATCCTGTATTGTAATATTGTTTGCTATAGTACTATACCAGACCTGTTAGACAGATAAATAGACAGATAGATAGACAACCAGACACTGGGCTTTTGTAAAGATAGATAGACAGATAAAAAGAAAAATAAATATATGAATGAATGGTTGAATGGATGAATAAACGAATGGAAGAATGAATAGAAATGAAAAGAAGAATTTAAAGCTGAAGTACGGTAGCAGGGTAAAGCAGGGTAATTATAACTGAACAAATCTGTATTAAGCAAACATTTGTAATTCCAGGAGCTTGGCGCCACTTTCTTTTTTGACTTGATCTCAGTGAATGAAATGGAAGCAGTAAAAAATGTGTTTAAAGAACGGATTGTCTAAGGCTTTAGGACTGCATGAGTGTAATTTCAAGTGTAACCCTCCAACGAAAACAACCACGATATATAAACAAACCTACACTACGATAAAAGTTTTAAAAAATATATTTAGGTTTTTTTTGGAAAAAGTTGGGATATCAGTTAAAAATCATTTTTATAGTTGTTACTTATTTTTTGCTAAGAGAAAACGGTTGACAAAGATCAATTTGTCGGGTCTACAAGTTTTCAGAACTATTAATAGTTCACGTTTTAACGGCTCAGTGATCCTTTATACCTCCACACCCTGTAGTATATATAGGACCCAGGACCCCCTATACAAAACTATACAAAGCGAAAACTTTTACACCAAGGAATGAATGAAAAATGTCCGTGTTTCTGTGTGTTTGTCTGCGTGGGATTTCAAACTTTTATTCTGGAAATTTGTTTGGGACGAAAAAAAAAACTTTCTAAAATATACTTGGATCTCTGTCAATATTCAAACATCCATTGCAAGAGAAAATTAAGCTGGTTTTTATTTTTTTCCTACATTTATTACGAAAGTTTTTAACACATTTATTTAATACATATTGCTAAACAAACGGAAAAAAGACACACAAATATGGTTGGAAGTGACATTTAAGAAAGGGGGGGGGGGGTGCCTTTAATTTTATCACTATATAAATGCAAAATGTAATGTGGGCCAATGCCTGTAAAATCTGCTGAACCCCAGTTGGAACAGTTGCAATCTTTTAATTTACTATTTTCCACTAATTTAATCCCAGACACTGGTTTGATTCGATATCATACTTTATGAAACAAAGATGTTAAATTCTTAAAATGTTTCATACTTTTGGAAGATTTAGATGTCTTTTTGATTTGCGCATTTTTCATGCATGTTTATTAATTTTCGCTTAGCCTGGGAATTATGACGTGAACCGGATTAGATTGGTTTTGCTGTTCACTTTTCACTGGTCTCAATAGGTGTGCAGTCAGCTGGAAAACCGGTTTCTTTATCCAACATGGCGCCACAATATGGCGGCCGTAATACCCACGACTAAATTTTGATTCAATTGTCAAATATTGAGCTGAAATTGTGAGGCTAAGGTTCCTTTGAAGATATTATTCCTATGTAAACACGATGTATTTGATCCTCAGCGCTGTGACACTATGCAAACATCTTCAAACGGTGTTAGAAAAACACATTTATATGTCAAAAATTTAATTCTCTGTATGCCTCTTCTATTTTTCTTCCGAATGTAAATTTGCTCCGACGCGTAACATCAAAGCCCCAGACCTGTGTTCAATTATCCCACATTATGATCCGTGATGTTGCAAGTTTAATGTTGAATCATGAAAAGGATGATGCAACTACATCATATGATGGCCCATCCCGGGATGCTGCATTAGTTCTTGTTCTATTTTCACTCGTTTATCCATTTCATCTCCATCATCTTCGTTTTCACTGTCCTCAACATCGTCGCCAAGATCGACGCCGTCGCCGCCTTCTTGACGTCGCTTAGCCGTCGCCATTTCAGCAGCATGTCGCTTTCTCCATTTTGTTCTTCTGTTTTGAAACCAAACCTGAAAAAAATCAGAATTAATTTCTTCAATAGACACCGCAGCAAGAATTGAAATATCTTAAATAAAAATCAAATCCAACAAACAATAGCATCCATCCTTAATAAATAATGACAATGTTTGGTAAACAAAGGTAACTTCAAAACCACGAAATTTAAAAAACCAAAATGAAAATGAATAGTAAATAATTTTTATGTTTTGTAGGTTCATGTTCATGTAACTACTATGAAATATTTAACATTTATATGTTCAAGTTCAATGTTCATGTGATTACAATAACATCTATATGTTCAAGTTCAATGATTATGTGATTACAATAACATCTATATGGTTAAATTCAATGATCATGTGATTACAATTACATCTACATGTTCAAGTTCAATGTTCATGTGACAACAATTACTTCTATATGTTCAATTTCAATGTTCATGTGACTACAATACCATTGTAACAATATGGTGTCGGGCGTAACCAAGCAGAATCCCCAGAAAATATTCATTTTCACACTAGTCAGAATTTTCTTCATTTTCCATACGTGAAACATGGTACAGCAGCCTCCAGCTTTTAATTAAAGAAAATCTAATATTTATCAGATCATTCACAATACAATACAAAATAATTCAATTTATCCATAGTAATAATCTACAGGGTGTCCCATATCATCTTGAATCCTTTATTGCAATTTTTGAGACAATGATCAGAAAATATAAAAAAAAACATTTTAAAAAATTTATAAGGCAAATGTAAAAATTTGCTTGCTTGCAGAATATACTAGGTTTTTTTTGTATTATGAGAGTATATTGACGTTAAAGCTTTGAGATATTACAATATGATATGGACCGCTCTGTATATAAACTAAAACAGTTCATGGAAGGTACAGAAGGAAGGTATCAAGGAGGAACATAAACAAACTCAGAGCTCTTATTTCTCCCCAAAACTGAAGTTCACCAATTTTATATAATTTATAAAAACATTAAACATGTTTGTCCACTTTTTAAACATATTGAATTAAATTTGTTTACAACAATTTAAATTGAGATTTAGTTTGAAATATTCTGATTGTGTAAGAAATACATAAAACTTTTATAAACACCTACATGTAATAATGTTAAGAAACTTTTGTGGTTTTCCTCAAAAAGATTATCAAGTACAATAGGTGGCAACAGAGAACTAGACAAATTATACACAACGTCACAAGTGTCAAACATAACAGGAAAACGAAATGTTCTCACATTAGTTGACATGTTTTCCAAGATTAAATAAAAAAGTGTAAAAACAGAAAATTAAGAATACATAAAATTGCGCTGGTTTTACTGGAAGATAAGCACTTTATTCCAGAATTATCACTATTTCTAATAATTTTGTCGGACACATAAACAGAGTTGACACTTGTGACGTAAGAATACAGCTGTACTGCGAGTGTACTAGAATCTATTTGGTTTTCCTAATTCCCTGAAATAATATTAACCATGATATGCGTTGTTTCCCCGTAAACTAATATATATATTAATATATATAAATATATAAATATATTGCTTATTAATTCAATGAGCGTTAAATCAGGAATATTGTGAAGATGTAACATAAAATAGGTTGTCAACTATTCGGTTCATTGAGTACATAGACTTAAGTACACTGTCAGCGTATATTATTCAACTATACGGTTCATTGAATATATAGACATAAACTTTTGTCAGCGTACATATTCAACTATACGGGTATTGAGTACACTCTCAGATATAGGCTTACATTATCAGTGTACATATCCAACTGTACGATTTATTGAATACATAGACATACACTGTCAGCGTACATATTCAACTATACGGGTATTGAGTACATACTCAGATATAGGCATACATTATCAGTGTACATATCCAACTATACGATTTATTGAATACATAGACATACACTGTCAGCGTACATAGACATACACTGTCAGCGTACATATCCAACTATACGATTTATTGAATACATAGACATACACTGTCAGCGTACATAGACATACACTGTCAGCGTACATATCCAACTATACGATTTATTGAATACATAGACATTCACTGTCAGCGTACATAGGTAAATGTATAACAGTACGTATATGCATGTTTTACTGAGGTTCAATATTAAATTGACACTCTTTACAACTTGTGATCTGTTTAAAAAGTTGTCTGCCATCTTTTTTTGTATCATACAAATTCACGAAAATATTAGACGTTTAAGTTGTATTAAGAAATTAAAATCAAGGCTAGTTTTTAAAACAAATCTTGAAGGTATTAAAATGACAAACCCCCTTTCGGAAATCCCAAAAATGAAAGTTTTGGTATATGATTGTGTGATCTGAAAAATGACACGATGTATAAGTCGTCACTTAATTCTCATCTTTAATGGGACACCATTTATATTGTACTTTGAACATTATATATACAGTAACGTACATAAATATAGAGCATACAGTACATTTGTATATTCAAAATAACACTTTAATTATCTACATATCTTGAATGTTAAATCTAATTTGTTTTTTTTTGAAATTATATATATAATATCATGGATATATTATATAATTCAATCTTTTACAATATTTTAAAATAAAATTATATATTTTAAGATGTTTTAATCCCATAACACTAATACCGAGAGTTGTCAAAAATCTTTTAACCGTGTCCTAAGCTTTCAAATACGTATACAACATGAAAACTCAAAGCAATTTAATTCGAGCCCATAAAGTTGAGCCGTTTCCTCTGATATACACCCAGATACCAACATTTATGCAAACTTGTTTTTATCCTGAGATTTAAACTCGAAATTATAATAAAATGTCAGATAATCCTGAATGCCGGTTTACGCCGGGTAAAGATTGCTCCATTACATAAACCTGGTTTCACGGTGGTCCTGCACCAAACCAAACCCAACTCTCAGGTCAGCTGGCGGCAAACAGAGAAAAATCCGCCAATTCATTTGAAAATGGCGGCGGCACAAGATGGCGGCACTGGAAACATTTGTATCCGGCTAATTTCGGACAAATAAATGCGCATCAATAATGGAAAGAGCCATAAACCAATAAAATGATGATATAACTGTTGTTATGAAGGGGCAGGTTTTCCCTTTGTTCTATTATGATTAAAATTCAGTATTATTATTATTTTATGAGGAGAGCTGAAATCAAAATCAAAATTTAAAGTTTAGTAATTTAAAATTAAACATCTCTTGAAACTGATGGGTTTAATATTTGTTTGTCTATTTCACACATTTAAAAGAATAAAAAAGGTACAAGCTTTATTTAAATACTAGACAATTTTTAATCTTAAAAGTCATTTATGTTTTTACGGTTCAGGTTACTTAAAAATACATATCTAAATTGTTTTCGTTGGTAAATATTTTATTTTTTGCTTCCTTAAAGAGGCAGTAAGTGTATTTTCAATTGACCCTCCATACAAAGATGGGAATATCCTTGAAACCTTTATCTTATCAAAAATGTGGAAGATTTCGACATTTTTCTTAATCGAAAAGTGTTCATTTTTGTGAGTTTCTCCAATGCTTTTTATAAACAAGAAATCCGCAAGTCTCTTTAATGAGCAGAGAACCCGCAAATGAAAAAAAAAAACAGTTTAAAGAGCCAAAGACCACTTGCGGGCCTGCAGTGGGTTATTTCTGTATCAAACTTTAACAAAATTTTAACGGAATTGCCCAATAGAGTTTGTTACATCACTCAGTTTTCTCAAAACAATAATGAATTATAAAATCAAAAAGTTTAAAAAGATACTTTTAATCCTGGGATTCCCCCCGTATAATCCATACAATGAAAACTTTTGAGCAAGAAATTAATGTTTGTGTATATCCCCCCATCCAACAAGTTTGAGAACATCAAGCATGAAGTTTAGGCATTCGTATGCATTAAATACAATATTATTAAATTTTGGATTGTTATCTTTCAAGGGCGTATACAGGGGGGGGGGTGCAAGGGGGCAGTGCGCCCTTAGACCTGCAGAGTGGGAGGCTTAGCCCCCCCTCCCCTAGAACTCAGAGCTTTCACACTTTTAAAATCTTAAACTGAAGAGTAAAGAACATTAAAAAATTAATTTGCTGTTCATTCAGTGCACTGAGAAAATAGTATACGTGGACCAGATCAGAGCCACCATGACAGAAGTCCGAATGAAAAATCTATCTAGAATGCACATTCATCCTAATCTGATGGGTGCTATCAGGCATGGCGAAGTAAAACAATTATTTTTAAATGCCAAGCCACGAAGGCTTTCGAGTTTGGAGGTAGTAAAAAAACATTTTTTGTTTTTTAATCTAGATTTAATTTACTTTATTCATTGCACCGCCGTTTTGTAAACTTTCTTTTTATTTCAAACTAGATGAAGTGCCAGGCGTTGCCCATGGAATTTTTAAAATCGAATTAAAACAAAAATTTATAAGTTATTTAGGATTTTATCATCTCTAAGGGTATCCATGAGTTTCATCACTAAAATTAAGCCTATTTGATTTGATTTGATACTAACATAACAATATAATAAAATGTCGACATTTTAGAAACAATGCTTTTTTCTGGTAGTTTTGTTTGAAGGAGAGATAAAGTACAGTACTTGCAAGGTAATTGGACTGTATGTGTACCTTTAAAGCATCTTATACTTATGCCTGACATCCAAGAAGCCAAATGTTTTGAATTTACAATTCAAATTTTGCCCCCCCCCCCTAGATTTATTTGTGTATACACCTTTGTTATCTTACTTATCTTAATCAAACTCTTTTTATTAAGAAAAATAAAATTGATATAAAGGATTTAGTCTTTGCCACAAACTCTGAATTTATAATCCTTATATCTTTGGAACCCAATGTCGCAAATCTTAGATATTTCAAACTTACATTATTTGATTTAACAGAATTCATAGTTTGAAATATCTAAGGTCTACGACATTGGAATAAATTTCTAACATGTATCTGGATACATTTGTTTTTCTCATATTTGTTCGTAAAATGAAAACTATAGGAGCTACGAGGTCACAAAGTAGCAGGAAAAATGTCGCATGATTTGATGTTCTCCTTCTGTCTAGTTTACAGTATAAACAATATATTTTTAGCTGTTAACGTTGTGAACGAATCCACCCAATATTAGAACCAAACTAAATATTAGAACCAAACTAAATATTAGAACCAAACTAAATATTAGAACCAAACTAAATATTAGAACCAAACTAAAAAGTTTTTCATGTTTCATTTTTGTTTAAAAATATATTTACAAGGGCCTATATAGAATCAGAAGAGACGGGGGGGGGGGGGGGAAGCGCCAAATTTGACCCCCACAAGTAGAGTCTAGGTTGGGCCATTCCCCCCTGGTACGCCCCTTCAGGTCTAACTGTAAACAATGGTTCCCGGTCCAAATTAATTTGTTTTATGACACCAATTCCAGAAAATAAGTTATTCAAGTCAGGTATTTATTATCAACTGCAACATCATCAATGGAATTTGTAATTCAAAATTAAGAACAATACCAACACAGAAAGGGGGGGGGGGTTAAGAAGGTTATACCCCTCCCCCACCCCCTGCTTTATAAAATAATTAAAGTTATTTTTGACGTGTATGTGAATATATGAAAAATTATGTTAAATGAAGGGGGCAAAAGAATCTCGAAAATTTTAAATTGTTTTATTATTTGTAAAAAGATCCAAGGAGATATTGAATAGAAGGAGGGGCGATAGGGTTTCCGTACACTTTGCTGTAACACCTCCCCACTCATGTGTATATGTTTATAAATAAATCAAATTATTGAAATATGGTCTTTTCTAAAATTTATTTACAAGGATTTAATCCTCTGTATATAGTTTTATACCTTGTTATGTTAAATATTAAAGTGTATGTATAATGTGTGTACGTTTAGATATATCGCTAAACAAATATAATAAATCAATGAACTTGTTAACATACATTTACAGAGACAACAATACAGGGTGAACAAAACAAAATCATCCAACAGGGTGTATATAAAAAGTGAAGAAAGCGGATCCTGAAATATTTTTAAGGTTAGTATCCAAAACAATGATCATATGCCCCTTTAGTGAAAGTAAATTCAACCTTTATGAAGCATAAAGTCTGACCGCGTCAACCTTGTTGCACCGGCTAGTCCTGTCCATAGAGCTAGGTACAGTACAAACTGGGAACGGAAAGGTTGACCCGGCTCGGACATTCAAATGTATTTCAGCTGCCCGTGTATATGTACAGTAATGCATGTGTTTCACAGATTACATTACAGTCTATGTACAATGTATGTAAATTGTGTTTTAAAATGAATGATACTTAATATATTTAAATCTATGCTAATGTGTTACACAATGCACATGTTACAAGTTAATTCTGCAAATGTTTGTTAAAGATTATTCAATCATAAAATTTACCCCAAAGGAAATTAAAAGGAGTGTATGGCTGGACATGGAAGTTGAGGTGAGAGTGCAGTAATGTTAAGGTTTTTTTAAAAAAATCATTTGATACTTATAAGACGTTTGTACGGTAAAATCGATCTTTAAAATCCTCCTGGGACTCGCCTTCAGGAAGGTTGTGGCGCGGCACGCCTGCGCTCTTACTTAGCAATTAAACACCGTCATATAGGTTTCGAATGATTTCTAAAAAATTCTCTACATTACTCCACTCTCAGCTCAACTATCATGTCTAGTCAGACATTACCTTTAAGAATTGTCAGCCTGACATTTCTATTTGTCAGCCATCATGTTCGGATTATATATTAATATTGAAATATTGATTTATTGGGGCAAATTTAATATTTGTTTCTCTAGGCATAAATTCAAGATTTAAATATCCATTCAGGGGGGTCTACGCCCCCCCCCATCCTCCTCCCCTCCTATCTTTCAGATATAAACGTATTAGCCCCCCCCCTCAACCAGTTCTCCCAATCCAACTCTTAACATAATAGATTCGTTTACACATATTTTCAGATTTTCTATGTTCAAAGTATTTTTTGTTAAAGGAGTAATTAGTGTTTGCCGCAAACAAAATCTTTTTAAATTTCTATACGGTGTTTGATATTTCATTCTCAGATTATTTAATCCAACAGAGTTCATAGTTTAAAATATCGAAGATCTAAAACATTAGGTTGCAAAGAAATAGGAATTATATAATCAGAGATTGTGGCAAAGGCTCAATTCCTTTATTAGAGCCTACTCTTTCTTCCTAGCCAGAATAAACCCACAATATTGAATTAATAACTCCGTACTTACAAATATCAAATATGAAAAAAACAGTCCATTATCCACCTTAACAAAGTGATCAATATATCAGTCCATTTTACAATCATATAATTTGTTGCGAATCAATTGATATTTATTCAATCAGTCAATCAATCAATCGATTAATCAATTAATTTGTCTATCTTTAATCTGTTATTATATCTGTCAATATATTAGGCTTTAATCAGTCAATCAAATGTTCAATCAATCATCTTTAATCAATCACTCAACCTTTAAATGATTAATCTTTAATCAAGGAATGGATTTTTAATGAACTTTGTTACCTTGACTTGTGACTCCGTCATTCCAAGCGCGTACGCTAGTTTAGCGCGCTCAGGTCCTGCCAAATACTTCGTCTGCTCAAACGTTTTTTCAAGGGCGAAAATCTGCTGTCCAGAGAACGTCGGCCTGATAAAACTGCTAATAATAATAATAATAATAATAGTAATAATAATAATAATAATAATATCCCTCCCAATTAGGGATAAATTCTTGAAGTGCAAGCTAGACCGTCCCAATATATTTTTACCGGGAAATATTCATAGATATAATTCGGCTGGGCACGCCATGCTTGACTTATTTAGACCCAAATGAGGGGGGGGGGAAATACATAAGAATAAAAAATCTCACCCTGTAGTGCTGGTTTGGCAGGTCTAAAGCCTGTAACCTGGTTGAATAGACTCGTAAAAAAGTTTCAGAAAATTGACCAGTTTTATACAACATAGTTCAGATACAAGGCTCTCATTGGATACTATCAGACACGTCAATTAGTCCTCAGATATATTAGAGGATATTTAAGCTGTAATTTTAAAATAGACCAGAAGCCTAGTGAAGTTGTTTTTATATATCCATTATGCCTTTTTTATTATAGGATATATATAATAATAATAACAATGATTGATCAAAACAATAGATACCTCGTATGTTTCTTTTTCCCATCTTTATCCAGATGATGACCATGTAGATCTAAAAAATAATAAGAATTTGTTTTTAAAATATATTTTTTTTAACTTTATAGGAAGGAAGCAGCAAAGAAGGGTTAATGACTCAATATTGTTCTGAAATTAATCAGACAAATTTTATTAAGAATTCCAAATAGATATATAAAATTATATATATGTATATGAACAGGTTTATTTGTTTGTTTGTATTCAATTAATATCTAAAAGGCTAAATCGATCTGGCAATACACACGGATAAAATTGAACAATTTTGTCCAGAAAAATGTCGATTAATTTTTTCTATAAATCCATTAATATTTTGTAATTAAATTTACATAAAAGAAAAAATTTGCTTTGACCACCATCTATTTACTTTATTCATATTGTTAAAAACTAAAAACAAAAAAATGTTACAAAACATTTACGAAAAAATAGTAGATTTAAATGCAACATTTAAAAGCTAAAACTGTTAATAGAGATTGAGCGCGGAGCACCCTAAAAGTCTAGTTAAAGCAAAACAAGCAAAAGCCGCGGCCGGTCCTTTTAAATTAAAAAATAAAACATATTTAGAATTATATTTAAAAAATCACTTACTATTTAGAACGAATCTATCTCTCCACACTGTAGGATTAGAAATTAAACCTGAACCAACACAGGTTAAATAATTTCTATGCCATAGGGAGTTTCAGGGGGTTCCAGGGGGTGCCATGTGGATTCTGGGGGATTAAAGGAGGGTTTCAGGTAAGGTCAAAGGAGACGGTGACTAAACATAAACTACACAAAATATTGAGCTTTTTTTGGTAGTCTAAAAATTGAAAATTTCGAACCAAGTTTGACATGGAGGGGTTGAGGTTGAAGGTATATACTTATTGCAAAGAGGTATAGAGAACTAAGATGGTATGTGTACACTCTGCTGTGACGTACTGATACTAGTATTATTGTATACAAGCAACATTAAGTTGTTGTGCTGCAACCGACTGTTTTTGTTTACAATCAAGCTAGTTCTTGACCTGATGTAAAATGTAAACGAACTCTATCCTTCTCTCATGAGAAGTGCTGTTTATCGTTTTGCTTTGTTTTTCAAAATCTTTTCATAAAATCCCCACACTGCAAAACTGTATTTGGTTAAAGTTTACTTTTAATAAACTTTTTCCAAAGTTGGTTAGTTTAAGGCATCTAAGAGTAAAAAAAATTACTATTTTCTTACTCTATGCTAAATTTTGACCCTGAGAAAAAATATATGCAAAAACGGTGGAACCCGATTAACAAGACACTACTCCTGAGTTCTACTCTAATCAGATCTAGAGTATTTAAACTGTGTTTCCTTGTATTCCTGGCCAGTACAAGGCTGCTCGTTGATGCGGGGTCAACTCAGAAAATTTTCCTCCACCAAGACCCTGAAATAAAAGGCCAAGTTTGAAAATAATATCCAAATAAGAAAATAACATTTATTTCATACAAAAGTTTTCTTTCTAAAATTGATTTTAAAAGCAAAATACAGTCAAATAATATTTCTTTTTTAGTCAGTTCTAATCTAGCAGCATATTTATATACATTGGGGACCAAAATATGCCAGACAGGGGGGGGGGGATAATTTTCAATGAAACAGACAAATGCGTATTTCAAAGAGATTTTATCGACAGGATAACGGGAAATTTTTTCATTTATTATGTTTTTTTTTTACCTGATTAATATACGGGTTTGGATTCAATCCAAACCTTGAGATATTTGATAAACTTTCAACTGTCCTATCGGTGGTTGGAGATACCGCCGAGGGCATTGAGAGGGCGGTTCGGCGGTTAAGAATATTGTCTATACCATGTGGGTTGACCGGGTTGGTCTGCACTGGGCTGGACGGGTTGGATGAGGGTGGGGGGGAAGGGGAGAGGGGTGTGTGTCCGAGCATAGCAGACTTCATATCGGTCATAGTGTGCAGAGCAGCTAAAGAACTGTTAGCGCCTAAATAATTTTTAATAAATTTTTTATAAATTTATTTTAAGTTTTTCGAAAGAACAGATTAGTCGCTTCAAACTATGATTTTCTAATTCTAGATCTTTGCTGAAACATCAGAGGTCCAAAACATCAGGTTCCAAAGATATTAGGATAAATTATAGTTTAAGCGCGAGTTGTTAGTTCCTATGATGGAAACTTCAAAAACAAGGTTTAAAGTTTTCCACTGTGAAGCAGACATTTCCCTCTTTAAATGAAACGTCACCTGTTTTATTTTTATTTTTAATTATACGACAGTAATGTGTTTAAAATTTTGACATTTATAGCATATTTGATTAGAAATTAGAACTATTGAAATAAGATCTACTTAATGATATGTTTTATTTCAGTCCAGTGTGCCCAATCAAAATTGCTCCAAGCATTTTATTCCTATTTCAAAGAACTAAAAGTGTACTGCAATTTCTGTACGGTGGTAAGACACAAATATTTTCTTACGAAGAAACTCTTTTTTCTCTATATTTTATCTCTTTTTGTTTATAATATTTCGTTATTGTATCTTAGTAGTTGAAAATCTTAAAAGTTTTTAAGGGATATTTGTTTGACTAGCTATTGATAACAAATAAAACAAAATAAGATTACTTTTCTCTGACTGCACTATAGTTTCAGTAGAAGTAAATATTTCCATTTACTGTTAGCGCCGATTGAATGATTCATAACTCTTATTGGATAATGAGATAGATAGAAAGATAGATGTGACCGTCATACTATTTCTATTGGTCAAGAATAGACATCAAGCACATGACTGAACCCTTATTGGATCAGGCGCTAATGGACTCGGCATACAGGAGTATCTTGAAGTATAAAATTTAAAAAAATAGGTGTTGTGAGGTTGCAAAGTCTGAATGGTACCTGCAAGTAAACCTCTGTGCTGCGAATTAGTTTCTGAGTTAATAAAATGTAAACCTCTGTTCCCCTGGCTATTCTCACTTAAACCTAAACAATAACAGAACATTAAACTTCAGCACACGAAACTAGCCAAAGCTAAGCGTGTCCGGGCAGTAACGAATTAAGAAATTCCAGTTTTGTTTCTTTATTAGAAAATATTCTAAAAATTTCAAAATAGAAAATGTAAAATTATGCATTGGGGAAGATTGGTTCGAAAGTTAAGGTTGGCTGACTTTTGATCCCGGACATTTGAATCACGTTTATAATTAAAAAAAAAAATAATTTCTATCGTGGTTTTTTAAAAAAATAACCTGCGCATTTATACTGCAGGAAAACGCATAGAAAAAACATAGAAAAACGACTACACGAAGACATTATTGATCAGATAATGCTAGGTTTCAAGGCCGGGTATAACCGTTGTTAATCAGGCATTAGCATCTTAGCATGGACGGTCACTCGACCTAACCAATAATTTTAGACTAATTATTTGATCAAGTTAACCCCAACCTGTTTTGGTTTTACGTAAATCAAAATAAGTTTTGTTCTAAAAAAAAAATTAAAGATAAATTTGTATTGAATTCTTCAAGTTTTGATCCTCTATTAGAAAATCTACTAAAATATAAAGATAATGTAATAATCTTGTATTTCAAAACTGGTTTGAAAGTTAAGACTCACTGACTGTTAAACCCCTGTTAAAGCCAAATATTTTACAAAAAAAAATCCAACTTCTTTTAACCCGAATGGTTGCGTGTTTTTCTATTAAGTTTATAGTTTAAATTCCACAAAAACAGTTTAATTTTGATTTTTCTTGTGAAAAATAACAGCTTAAGCTATTATTAGGTCGCAAATTCATTCCTTAAAGCAAGCTTTGTTCCACAATTGGATTTGATCGGAGCTCGGTTAATTTGTTTTGAATTTTCCAAAACCGTCAAATGTTTTAAACCAACACAAGTTATATAATTAGTACTTTTTGATTTTGGTAATCCTGAAAAGTTACATCAGTATTCGAGACCGGGCCGACTTTAAAGTTTTTAAGAAGTAATTGGCAAAACTCTCATCTTACAGCATATGGAACACAATAACCAAATGTTCGAATAACTTGGACAAAAATTGTGTTTTAGGATTTTTATTTTCAACGTTATGTAAGTAAAAAATTACCTGAAAGAATATTAAACATAGCTTGATGTGTTGAAGAGGGAGGGGAAGGGGGAGGAGCAGGGTTAAAACTCCCCGACATGCCTCCAGTCGAAAAGTCAATCATCGAAATATAAAAATTCGAATCACTTTTCTCAAATCCACATCAAAACTGGTTTAAAATGTGTTCAACTCGCTGTATCACTCGTTTTCTATAGTTTACTTAATTCCCGCTAATTAATTAGCACTAAACGTGGTCTGCTGCACTAGGATTGGAAGCAACTATTAATTTTGAGCGTAATTAGCAGGATATAGTGTCTGCTGGGGCTATAATACCACTTCACGGACTCCACTGACACTCAAAAACGCGAGAAATTGGTGCTCAGCCTCCCCCGACCCGCCCTGGCCCGTCCCAACACGGCATTATTGCAATTTGATTGGCTACCTCGGTCAAGTCGGCCTCTGATTGGTTGGATTTATACCGGGACAGGTGAATTCTCGTCGCTGATTGGTCGAAGCATTGCGTGATAATATCGGTCTTTAGTTTTTGTCGTTTACAAAGTGTTTTGTAAAAGATTGGGTTTAGGGCTTGGAGGGTTATAGACGTACATATTGGCTGATTCACACATTATAGTTTATTAAGACAGATATTTTTCCTGTTTTGCACTAGGGTTTCTTTCCCTTAAGCATGCTATTGAGAAGCTATTCTGAAAATAGGACCAAAAAATTGTCGCCCCGCCCCCCCCCCCTGTATCCGCCCCTTAGCCTAATGATCAAATGATTAACTATAAATCGATTAAATTCATATTATTAGGTCTCTAAGCCATACACATTTGACTTGTAAGTAAATTGCATGTGAGATATAAATCTTAACTCTACATATTGAAGACCTATTTGAAAGAACAAAAATGTAACCGGATATATTTTTTGTACTTTTCCTTAAAATCTAAGTTAGATGAGCGACGAGGTCATAAAGGCGTAACCAGTAATGTTGCTGAATCGTTTGATTAGAAAAATCTTAAAGCGATTCTTCATATATAGTTCAAATACATACATTACCTTAATTATTGAGTTTATTTAAACTAAGCTATGTATTATCTACTCAAAAAAGATTCTGAGATCGAGTCTGAGACTCACAACTCTCTGTTTATTGTTCACTCAGAAAACCAAAAATTTGAGTTTATGACTCAATTCCTTTATCTCACCTTCCGGTCTATCTTGAAATATCCATATTCTGCATTTGCGTGAAATCGTTCATAATTTTATCAGTTAATCCTTCTAAACTGAAACTTGAATTAAACGGTTTGAGGCTTTGCAATACTAATATCCAGAGTAATAATAAAAAGAACTAGAACAAGAACAGAAGGTCAGGTTCGAGAACTACTAATACTTTTAAGTTGGCCCGGGCTTTCGTGACTGAAATAATTTACGATGCGATCCGTCAGGAATTGGAGCAAAATTTAATAAATAATTTGTTAGTTAATTTCAAAAAGTTTTAGTCTTTTATTAAACCAAATTTGCAAAAAAAAACATTTTTTGAGTTGATATTTAAAAAGAATTACGAAAGTTGAATTACACCCTGAATTTTTTTGTCTCAATACATAAACAAGTCTAAGGATCAAATTTTTCCACATGTTTAATTGTATGAATGTGAATTAAAGAACGATAAAAATATTAAAAATAACCTCTAACTTTAAGCTCTTTTAAAGTCATGGGCTTTTTGTTTCCTTGAATTATACATAGTAAAAGAAATTTTAATTATATAAACTTGGTTTTTTAGGTAAAAAAAAGTGTGAAAAGTAATGAAACAGAACATTTTTGAACCTGTAATCACATTAATTCCAATATTTTCGTGACATTTGTAAAAGGAATAATAAAATTTTTATAAATTACAAATTTGTTCTACAAAATCATCATGTCATCAAAAAAATAATTTTAATTAATTTTAAAGATTAAAAACGGAATTCCGAATAGAAAACAGGTTGGCGAAATTGTAATTGTCTTCATTAATTGGAACAATATTGGTAATTTCAAATATACTTTATATAGAATCCCTTAAATTGGCAATTTTTATATCCAGAGGATTATAAGGCTTTGAGATTATAAATTGGGTGGCTCGACTTTTATAGCGGTAATTTAGTTTTCCGGTAAAATCTACCAAGTGCGGGAAACGGCTTGGGCAACGCTGGGTTCCCAAGCAAGTAAATTCATATCTATATACTTAAATAAGTACGATTCTAGATATTTCTGAAACACCAAATGATCTTCGACAGATACCTTGATCCTAAAGAATATCTTTTTTTAAAAGATATTTTTGAAGATAATTGTCATTGAAGAGTTTTCAAAGCGAAAGCTTCAATAACGAGAAGAAATAAGGGGGGCAATGCAGGGGGGTCCGGTATTTTTCAGTTGAAGAGGAGGGGGCTTTTAGAATAAAAACGAGGGGTGTAAAAGTCAATTAATTTTAGCATAGTTGAAAATATTGCGACAAGGGACACAAGGCATTGAGGAGGAATTTGAAAGGAGGGGCCCGGGGGGTAGGGGATCTTAAAGGGAATAAATGAAAAGTAGGAGGTTGAGATTAGAATGGGAAGGAGGTTTGGGAATTTGTATCATTTTATGTCAATATCTTAACTAAACATCTTTAATTTTCTGATGTTATCAATATCAAAATCATACTAGACACTAAATATGTAAATAGGACGATACGACTTTTGATTAAAAGAACTAACGTATCCTTTGTTTTTTACTGCTTTTCTTTCCTTTATACATTTATAATTCAGTCAAATAAAGGTAAAATTCACTTTTACAACCTCCCCTCCCCCCCCCTCCAGCTTCCCCTTGTATGTATATATGTGTATAATGATATGAGTATGTTTATCTTTACTTATTCACACAGACTTACATTGTACAAATTGATATAACAGACCTGAAGTAGGGTGCACCAAAATGATCAAATTTATCAGAACAAGAGTAGGGTGCACCAAAATAATCGTATTTATCAGATCTAGGGCAGGGTGCACCAAAATAATCGTATTTATCAGATCTAGAGTAGGGTGTACCAAAATCATCGTATTTATCAGAACTTTATAGAGTAGAGTGCACCAAAATAATCGAATTGTTATCAGATCTAGGGTAGGGTGCACCAAAATAATCGTATTTATCAGATCTAGAGTAGGGTGCACCAAAATAATCGTATTTATCGAACTAGATTAGGGTGCCCCAAAATAATCTTCTTTAAGAGAACTGGAGTAGGGTGTACCAAAATAATCATTTTATCAGAACTATAGTAGGGTGTGCCAAAATAATCATCTATAACAGAACTGGAGTAGGGTGCACCAAAATAATCATCTTTAACAGATTTGGAGTAGGGTGCATCAAAATAATCATCTTAAACAGAACTGGAGTAGGGTTCAACAAAATAATCACCTTTAACAGAACTAGAGTAGGGTGCACCAAAATAATCATCTTCAACAGAGCTTTAAGTAGGATGCGCAAAAATATTCAATAGTAAGAGAACTGGAATAGGCTGTAGGGTGCTCCAAAATAATCATCTTTGACAATTTATTAATATTGCATTGAATGTTAGAAAAGAGAGAAAAAAATTCATTTTTCTCAGGACACAGTGTAAACACTAAGAAAACATATTCGAACACATAAAAACAATAATGTTTTTCCTAATACATTCCTTGAAATAACTTTCTCACGTCTAAAATGGGTTAGGAAGGAATCAAATTAATTTTGATTCAGATCGCCATATCGCAGCAAAAGTTAAAAAAGAACATATTGTTTCGAGAAAAAAGTAAAAAAAACAGGATAGAAAGTGCTAATTTATGCACGTTTTTATTTCTTGTCCTTTTTTTGAAAGATTGTCTAATGGACAATTTTATTTGCACCCACAAGTAACAAAATTGATTTTTTTGACAAATATTAAGACAGAAATCTTTTTTACTTTTTGAAACCTTTTTTTAAATGTTTATTTCCGTTTTAAATGTATATTTCCGTTTTAAATGTTTATTTCCGTACTAAATGTGTATTTCCGTTTTAAATGTGTATTTCCGTTTTAAATGTTATTTCCATTTTAAATGTTATTTCCATTTTAAATGTTTATTTCCGTTTTAAATGTTTATTTTCCGTTTTAAATGTATATTTCCATTCAAAATGTATATTTCCATTTAAAATGTTTATTTCCGTTTTAAATGTTTATTTCCGTTTTAAATGTATATTTCCGTTTTAAATGCCTAATGGAACAGGAAAAGATGCCACACCTTATCAAATTATAAAAAGTTGTAAATATGGGATACCCTATTGTCCATAAAGGATGAGATTTTAAAGTTAAGAAATGCAGGGTGTTCCAATAAATATGAGAATAAAGGGACGATTTAAAATCGTCTTTCACTTCGGACAGTTGTTAAATAAAAAGAGTTTAAAAAGTTTGTTTTAGCTTATAGAAAGTTAAGACAAGTTTATTTTTTGATAAAATTAAATCTGGTTAAATTTCTCGATATCAGCATCAACTTTGAAATTACAAAAAAGACAGCCCAGTTTTTAAACCCCCGAAAAAAAGGAGTTGTTGATGGAAATTGTTTAATAAAGCTGTAATACTACTAAAACTTTGCCAAAATTTCTATATATATAAAGTTGATATTTCACATTATATACGTTAATATTTCTGTGATTAATGTTTAATATATTGATGTATACAGTGTTATATACGTAATTTATATTGATGGTTTTATCTATATATATAAAATTATCTATCTATCTATCTAATATTCTTTTTATTTGATTAGTCCATGTGTTCACTACACTCACTATACAAACCTTTTAATACTATCATATCAATATATAGGTGGGGGAGGGGGGTGGACAAGGGAATGGAAGGGGGGGGATTGGGGAGTGACGGGGGGAATATGTACAGAAATAAGATAAGAATGAAGTAGAAATAAATAATTAAAAAATTGACTACAATGGTAAGCGTTTATATTAATACAATGAAAACGAGTTTTGATTTCAATGTTGATTTTTGAAGCTTTTAAACAGCATGGATACAAATAAACATGGAAACATTAAGAGAAGCTGTCGATTAAAAAAGCTACCCTTTGATTACTTTTAAACTTGTAATTCGAAAAAAGCTTGTTAACAATTACAACCTAAAAAAGTCGTCTTCTATGTATTGATATAATCGCCTGCCACTGAATAATAAGTCACTTTAAGCAATACGAATATTTATAGAGCTGGGACCAGAAAACTCTGGAATAGAAAGACGACTTTTAGACTCAAGTTTCGACTTTTGATACTCCAATCCACATGAAACACAGCAATTATTCAGTGTAAACAGACCCATTTGACTAAAAAGTGATTTGATAAGTTAATTACTAGTAAACTATTTGCTTTGTAACAACGTCAAATACACTTAATTAATGTTTATTAATGTTTTCCACAGTTTTCTGGTTCTCACTTTAAAGGGAATTTTGACGTAGTTTTCAGTGACCGTATTTGTAACGTGGGAAGTGACCGTATTTGCACAGCAGGGAAGTGACCGTATTTGTAAAGCAGGGAAGTGACCGTATTTTATACAGCAGAGACTTCTGAAAGAAAATGACAGAATTCAAACAATTTTAAGGATGAAAAACGGTGATATCTGAAAACCCTTACGAATACCGAATTGTGAATCGGACAATCATCTCTAGATCAAATCACTGAAATTTCATCCACGGTTGATTTAAAAAAAACGTCAAGAACCGTCAAGCTATGAAATCACAAAAAAAAACAAGAATTTTATTCCTGAACTATAGTATTGAGAAATCTTTAGAAATTCATCTTTTATCCGAATCCTGTTATAGTGTTATAGTATCGAATTTAGAAGTTAAATCTAGGATTAATACATAGATAGATCGATAGATAGATAGATAGATAAATAGATAGATAGATAGATAGATAGATAGATAGATAGATAGATAGATAGATAGATAGATAGATAGATAGATAAATAGATAGATAGATAGATAGATAGATAGATAGATAGATAGATAGATAGATAGATAGATAGATGGGTAGATAGATAGAAGATAGATAGATATATATATGGAAAGACAGTTAGATTAGCGGACAGATATAAAGAAGGATAGATAGATAGATAGATAGATAGATAGATAAATAGATAAATAGAAACATAGATAGATAGATAGAAGGATAGATAGATAGATAGATAGATATATAGATTTATAGATAGATAGATAGATAGATAGATAGATAGATAGATAGATAGATAGATAGATGGATGGATAGATAGATAGATAGATAGATATATAGATTTATAGATAGATAGATAGATAGATAGATAGATAGATAGAAAGATAGATAGATAGATAGATAGATAGATAGATAGATAGATAGATAGATAGATAGATAGACAAACATAAATGCAGATAGGTAAAAATATATAATAGCTAGATAGATAGATAGGAAGGTAGAGAGACAGATAAATATATATATATATATAACATCTATAGGTTTTAGATATAAAGATCACGAGCAGCCGTAGTGCATTTGAATTTCCGAGCCGGTCAACCGAGTTTGTATCTATGGACAAGACTAGCCGGTGCAACAAGGTTGACGCGGTCAGACTTTATGCTTCATATAGGTTGAATTTACTTTTACTAAAGGGGCAGATTTGCGTGAGATGGACTTATTAATATAAGCAGTGTCCGAATTTAATGAATTTAAGCCGCGCCTCAAATTCCCAAAAAACTGGTTTCAATTGAGCGCCGGCTTAAATCTTAAAACGTTTAATACAATTTTAAGTGGAACCAACCATATTTGAGCTGCGGCTTAAGATAGTATAGTATAGTAATAGAATAGTAAGAGGACATGTGAGTGCAATACTGAAGTGCATTTGATGTTGTTACAAAGCGAATAGCCAGTACATTTTTAAATTACTAATTAAGTGAAATGGGTCTCTATCTTTACACTACCCAAGTGCTGTGCCTCATGTTCATTGGACTATTTAAAGTCTTATCCTTGAGTCTGAAAGTCGACTATATTTTAGAGAGAAAGATTTAGCCCTTGTGTATATATTTTAGAGAGAAAGATTTAGCCGTAGTGTATATTTTTTAGAGAGAAAGATTTAGCCGTAGTGTATATATTTTAGAGAGAAAGATTTAGCCGTAGTGTATATATTTTAACATAAATACTTGTTTTATTGTAAACAGTTTATACAATGTATAGTTGTAAATCCATTAATACTTAAATGGACTGTTAAGATAAAATGAAATGGAGTACAGGCTGACATTTTAGGAGTTGATCGCGACCAATATTAGTTCTATCTGATGTCCCTGTCTTGAGAAATTGATACAAAATCTGTATCTGGTCACGTGGCTCCGTCGGCCATAATATGACGTTTAAATGAGTTTTTGTATAACTTGGTCACAAATTTTAGGCTTCAGCCTGGACCGACAAAAGGTTAAACGGAAAGGGGAAGGGGGAAGGGAGGTATGGGGGAAGAAAAATCACAAAATTTCTAACAAATTAACAAATTCTCATTATTTAATAAGAACATGAAATATGATTCAAAATTAATCTACAAAACCCCCGCCACCCCCTTTCCCCCGATCTTATTCACTCACTGTGTATATGAGCGCATTTGGTGTGAGTGAGAATTAGTGTCAATCACTGTATTCTTCAAGAATAAATCATCTATATACCATGGGCTCTGATATAATCTATTAAATGGTACAGGAGGGGGGGAAACAAATTTGAGCCCCCCTTGACAAATTCCTGAATACGTCCCTGGGAAATACCATTTGTATTTGCAATGCCTTGTTTCAAATGAATGGCATTGTCGGAGAGGATATTTTAACAGTTTTAGAAACTTATAAATGAAGAAAGCACAATCAGTCTCTTTTTAATTCTTAAAGGGAGTGTGCGCGTAATTTCATCCTACTTCCCATGAAAAGATAGCAATGCCCGATTCACAAGGTTTGTTTGATCAAGTGTTTATTAGAGAACAATATTTGTAATTTAAATAGATTATTATTTTTAATTGTAGTTTCTCTACAAACATGACTCGCGCAATTCTCTGTAGAAAAACATATTTTAATTACTTGAATTAAACATAAAAGAATAATCTTCCACAGTATTGATCTGATATAGGTTTCATGAGTACCGCTGTCATTCGGGCATTGCCATTTTTGCATGTATGGTCACTTAAAATTAAGCTTACAGTCCCTTTAGGTTTACAATTCCTCACTGTAGGTATATTCAGGTTCAGATCAATAGATAATTAATGATTGTCGGTAGCTGGGAGGTCCTTTCTTCTTTACAATCAAGGAATAAACATTAGGAACCCTGAGGTCCTTTCATCTTTACATATTCAAGGAATATACATTAGGAACCCCGAGGTCCTTCTTTCTTTTCAATCAAGGAATATACATTAGGAACCCTGAGGTCCATTCATCTTTACAAACAAGTAATATACATTAGGAACCGCGAGGTCCTTCTTTCTTTACAGTCAAGGCATAAATATTAGGAACCCAGAAATCCTTCTTTCTTCACAATCAAGGAATATACATTAAGAACCTCGAGGTCCTTCCATCTTTACAATAAAGGAATTTGCATTAGGTACCCCGAGGTCCCTCCATCTTTACAATCAAGAAATTTGTATTAGGAACCCCGAGGTATATGGTTAGGGGTACAATAAAGTAAAACAAAGGTTGGTGCATGGTTAGGGGTACAATAAAGTAAAACAAAGGTTGGTACATGGCAAGGGGTCCAATAAAGTAAAACAAAGGTTGGTACATGGTTAGGGGTACAATAAAGTAAAACAAAGGTTGGTACATGGCTAGGGGTACAATAAAGTAAAACAAAGGTTGGTACATGGCAAGGGGTCCAATAAAGTAAAACAAAGGTTGGTACATTAGGGGTACAATAAAGTAAAACAAAGGTTGGTACATGGTTAGGAATCATAAAGTAAAAGTTAGATAGGATAAATAGGAATTCTTCTTTAACCATAGCACAGGATGAGGCCCTGGAAAGGGGGTTCAGAAAGTGTCCTAAAAGTTATTCTAGGACCAGTATTTGTTAATTCGAAAAATGATCGATGACTACTGTTTGTAATATCTGAATGATTTGTTTGGAATTAAATTGATTTGTTTACGATCCGAGTTGAATGTTGCATCTTTCCGAATTTGTATGGACGCTGCGTTCTTCGGTGCGAGTCGTTTTTAACAATTTTCTCCTTATAGACGCAACAGATAGAAGTAAGATAATGATTAGTAGCGATCAAAACAGCTTTTTTATCGCATTAAGCCTATACCCCCTTTCATTTTTCGCGAACACTCCCTTTAAGGATAAGGAGAGAGAAACTTTGTTTATCCTTTGCTAAAAATCGCATAAAATATCAAAGGAACTTTGCTCTAGTCACTGTAGAACCAATTGCTCACAACCACCAGCTACGGAACGTTGAAATACAGAAGATCTGCTATTCCTCATATGAGGAGAAAATTAAATTCCCTATGATAAATCTTAAAAAAATAAAAAAAAATAAAAAATGCGATATTTATTGGTAAAATAAGTTAGTGTACTTATAATGATAATAATCTTTTTATTTCAATTAAAGTTTAATAGAAAATATATTTTTTACCTCCGTAAAAAGCTAGTCATAATGAACTTGAAAGATTAACCAAAATGTTATCCAATTTATTCTCTTTTCTTTACATCCTTCTTTTCCAAATAGTTTTAGTTCACACTGGAAATTATAAAAAAAAATCAAATGAATAATTTATTACAATATAGAAAATTGCACAATATCTACAGAGGAACAGGATTTTCAAAACTTTGTTAAGGTATTTTAAAGTAGAAGCTAGGGTTAAATTCCATCTTCTGAACAATAACAATTTAACAACATTTCCTAAACGCATGCTTAATTACTAAACAGACCTTCTCGTCTGGTTAAAGAGAATGATATTGATATTCTAATACTTCTAATTAACAGTTCTTTCCCTTATTGATTTTAAAAAGATCGGCAAATTAAAATTTTTAGTACACAAGTGCTTAAAACAAAACAAAAAACATTTTTATAATGTTAAAAAACTAACATAAAATATTACATAAAAAACGATATTTCATGCAGCAACTAAATTCTTTCAATTTTAAAATTGAGCATTTATTTTAAATTGCCCACAATTTAAATTGCGGGCAATTTAAATTGTGGGCAATTCCAAATGGCGGAATATTCAAACTGGCGGGAAATTCAAAAATGAAGGACTAACTGGCGGATTTCTACACAAATCATTTTTGATTGGGTGGAGGGGGTGGACGACCCGACATCATCATCTGCTGTCGATATGCCTAAACAAACATCATTAAACATCTCACGTGTAAAACTAGCATCTATTAAACCAACACCTGAAATATACATAAATAACATTTGTAGCCATTAGGTTTGCAATCGGAATTCCGTTTACGTAAGTGAAATAAGTTAGCAATATTCAGGACAGCAGACAAAAAAATGCAATGAACTTTGGCTGAATTCCGAAATATCTAATTGCGACGCACATTTCAAGGGGGTTAGAAATATCAAATATATGAGAAAGATGTTTACAAGTTAATCAAATCAAAGCTGTAAAACAAGGGACTGTAGACGTAATTTCAAGCGATCCTTCGGCTGTAGAGTTGGCATGTCCGATTCACAACGGTACCATTTCACCATCGACTGATCAATACTTACACCTACATTTGTCCACAGACCTGCTTGAAATTGTTGATAACGTTGTATGGAGGATGTTTTGAATTTTAAAAATATTATCCTGCACCTCGGTGAATCAGACGTGTCACATTACACGGAGGGTACAATCAATTTACGTGTACAGTTCCTATAAAGAATTCTAGAAAACCAAGATAAATAATTGTTTCAACATTAGAACGAACACAGCTTACCTGCATCATTTGTGGTGTGTAGTGGTTGTAGTTTCCAGGAGGTCCTTGTCCCATACCTTGCTGCCCAGGTCCTATATTAGGACCTCCTTGTCCCATAGGAGGACCCTGACCCATACCAGGAGGTCCCTGTCCCATCCCAGGAGGTCCTGGTCCCATTCCCTGTTGTCCAGGTCCAGGTCCCATCCCTGGTTGTCCTTGACCCTGACGTGGTCCCTGTTCTTGTAAATACTCCCTGGAATATCCGCCGTACATCTGTCTCACCTGACCACCATGCATCTCGTGGTGACCACCTCGAGACTCTGCATGACCACCCCGACTTTCCATTTGGTTTTGTCTGGAGTCCTGTCCTCCGCGACCATCATGAGGACCTGCACTTGCATCATGAACATGACCTCCACGAGATTCGTGACCTCTACCAGATTGAGGATGCTGACCTCTGGCCTCGGCATGAGCCATCATTCGAGGATCCCCTCCTCGAGTAGCCTTTATAATAAAAATTTTACCAAAAATGAATGGGTCATAGGTTTAATAAAATATTAAGGGAGTTCTGCCCTATTCCCCCCCCCCCCCCATTCCCGACATAATTAAGAAGCTTTACGCTAAGTGCTAACAAATTTATAGTAGTGATTTTACCGCCTTTTCACCAGCATTACTGACCCATGATTATCCCCCAGCCGAGGGACGTTGAGTTACATTACATTCCTTAGGACAAATAAGTAAAATAACGACCCGCTCTATATATTTAATATATCTAACCTCATAATAAGCTCTCTGCTCCTGGATTTGTCTTTGTTCTAATCTTTGTCTTTCCAACGCCATCCTAGTCAAAATATTCATTAGGTTTTATCAAACAAATTACAATATTCATTAGGTTTTATCAAACAAATCAAAATATTCATTAGGTTTTATCAAAATATTCATTAGGGTTTATCAAACAAATCCAAATATTCATTAGGTTTTATCAAAATATTCATTAGGGTTTATCAAACAAATCCAAATATTCATTAGGTTTTATCAAACGTTCAAAACCATAACAAGTCTTACAAAAGACTCTTCATTTTTTTCTGTGGTTTAATAAAAAACAAAAAACAATATTTGTATGTATGTTAATGAATTGACTAATGCGAAGTTATTAGGCAAGAAACTTGGTGTATATTGAACAAAAGGTACAAAGTCTTATATAGTTTAAAAACAATTATAGGGATTGAAATCGTAATTTCAAGTAGTCCTACATTGGTAGAGTGGCATGAAGGATTCACAACGGTTCCCTTCAAGCTTTGTCTATCAAGTATGAATCAGATATCCATGCTTCTGTTTATAAAAACAGTTTATTTTCATTTGTGGTTTACTGCAAAATTGAGTTGAGCACATTTTGCTTATGAAACATCGGAGAGATTATCAGAATTTAATAAGTCAGAAAAACATATTGATAAGATTAGGTTTCAGGGGTATCGTTGTGAATCGGACATGTTTATTTTTTTAAATGGAGGCTTACTTTAAATTACAACAACATAAAAAACAGAAATATTTCTCACCTTTGATCATAGGAAACATTGCCCCTGTCCCCCTCCCAGCGCCCCTGGTCGTAAGAACCTCTGTGATATTCTCTATTTACACCTTCTGGCCCCTGAGGACCCCGGACTTGATCTGGATGTACTCTGTGACCACCCTCCTTATCCCGGGCTCGTTGGGTTTCTTCTTGCTGTCTCAGGAACTCCTGTGCAAGGTGTACAGTTTATTGTATTGTACAATGTTCAGGGTGTACAGTTTATTGTATTGTACAATGTACAGGGTGTATACTGTATACTTTATTTTATTGTACAATATACAGGGTGTACAGTTTGTTGTATTGTACAAGTTACATTGAGCAATGTACAGGGTGTACAGTTTATGGCATTGTACAAAGGGAGTACATTTAATCGTTTTGTATTATGTACAGGGTGTACGGCAGGGGTCCAGCTAAAGATTTTGTGTTAAGTTAAAGACGTCACTTTGGTTTATATTTCTTAGACTAAGATGTTATTTATGGCAGATTTTAGGACTATTTGCGGCTAATTGTTGACATGTGGCATCTATTGGGTGTAATAGGTGTTCAATGCATGTTCAATCAGATATATCCAAAATATTACCCCAGACCCCTCCATGGTGTATGGTTTATGTCCCTAACAAAATTTACACTTTATTGTATCGTTTAGGGTTTACAGTTTTTTATATTGTACAGGATGTACAGTTTATTGTATTGTATAATGTACAGGGTTTACGGTTAAAAGTCCTTTTACAGTATATTGTACAGTTTATTATATGGTTTAGGATGCGCAGTTTATTGTATTGTTTAGGATGCGCAGTTTATTGTATTGTAAAGGTTGTAAACTTAATTATATTGTACAGTGTGTGCAGATTATTGTATTGTACAGTGTGTGCAGATTATTGTATTGTACAGGGTGTGCAGATTATTGTGTTGTACAGGGTGTGCAGATTATTGTTTTGTACAGGGTGTGCAGATTATTATATTGTACAGGATGTGCAGATTATTGTATTGTACAGTGTGTGCAGATTATTGTATTGTACAGGGTGTGCAGATTATTGTATTGTACAGTGTGTGCAGATTATTGTATTGTATAGTGTGTTCAGATTATTGTATTGAACAGTGTGTTCAGATTATTGTATTGTACAGTGTGTGCAGATTATTGTATTGTACAGGGTGTGAAGATTATTGTATTGTACAGTGTGTGCAGATTATTGTATTGTACAGTGTGTGCAGATTATTGTATTGTACAGTGTGTGCAGATTATTGTATTGTAAAGGTTGTAAACTTAATTATATTGTACAGGGTGTGTAGAATGTGCGCAATACCCGAATCACAAGTTCACAACCGTAACCTTGAAATCTTAATCTGATCAAGTATATGGAAGATATTGGTAACGAGTAAGAAATGAAATGCGCAAGTTAAGTTTCAAGAGAAACCAAAAATGTAAATAAACGAGTTGGTAAAATAAAAACATGGATATCTAATTCATACTTCATCAGACAAACCTATCAAGAGTACAGTTGTAAATCGGGCATTGCTTTCTTTGCAATGAGGGTCATCTTAACATTGAGAGTCCCTTGAACTAGCTAACAGACATGATTGCTAATTATAGTACAATCAGGAATATCAGGAAAGAGATCTGAAAGCCCCCTGCTGTTTGAAGAACCCAGACCGCCATCAGGTGGACACCCCCCCCCCCGGCCATCCGCGGATGAGGTACCACCAGGGGGCAGGCTGAACCGAAGTATACCCTACCATAGCCTACAATGGTGCACTCCCCGGGAACATCACAGGTCATAACCTACCTCATTAAGCCAACAAGCCAACAAGCCCTGCATAAGCCAGTTGTCCATCATAAACTGAAGGACTTGAGCTCTGCCCATCATTGTTAAAGGGTCAGCCCATCCCCCAAGAAAGTCCCGCATAACAAGTCCTTATGGGACCTGATGGAAAACCAAATAGAGCTTTACACAAGGGTCAACTCCTAAGGGTTTACTGAGTCTTAAGCCAACTTCCATTCAAGATTATCTAGTATACTATCTAGAGTACCTGAATAAGCATCCACTTTCTTTACAGAAGGACTAGGTATCTTTCCTTAGAACCTTGTTGCTTACATCAACCTTTGTCCTAGCCACAGTGCCTTGCTTAATGTTTATCCTGTAAACATTGTCAAGACCACGGTAAAAATATTCAACAAATTTACCTGATTAAAATATTTCTTCTTGAAATGATGTTCTGGCAAGTTTTCTCCTGGAAGGTTGGCAAGCTCCGCCCCACGACTCTTCTCTCCGCCACGTGGTGGACCCAGCTCCGCCCTCGAAGGACCTGGTTCTCCGGCACGAGGGGGCAGAGGTCCCATCAATCCAGCCTTGATCTTCATGGCCAGGGTCTGCTGGTCATACGGGTTAGAATCCTTAATTATAAAAAGATTTTTAAAACGTAAATAAAAATCCAGGTTTTGAGCCAATCTTTCTATAATTTCTTTGAAGTGATTCTTTATAATTTAGAAGGACAACAAAACTTTTCTAGGGTGATTTTAGTTACCAGAAAAAACTTTGACCTGACCAATTCAACTGATTTGACGTTTATTTGACACATATAAACCACCATGGGGTATGAAAGACAAATCAAATCAATCCATAGATCTGATCCTTCATTCAAAGATCCACAACATCAATTTGTGACTTCTGTATGAGAATTGAGAAGAGGAGTGAGGATTTATGAAATGATTTTATCTTTTGGAATTAACATTGAACTATTAGAAGTTTACAACACAAGTATAGTTTTCTAAAAGGGACTGTACTGTACCAAAGTGAATAAATACTAAAGTGGAACAGACTAAGGGAACGACGACAGGTTGGGCCATAAGGTTTAATTTGGTTTGACACTCCGTATACAGACCAATTTATATATATATATATATACATATTTCTAAATACTTGGGACATAAAATGTCGTCATCCAACTATGAGTTTGGTCCACTTTAGTATTTATTCACTTTGGTACTGTACACCATAGTTTCAGTAGAAGTAAATATTTCCATTTACTGATAGCGCCGATTGAAGGATTCTTAAATCTAATTGGATAATGAGATAGATAGAAAGATAGATGTTGCCGCCATCCTATATTTCTATTGCTTCAGAATAGACAACTAACACATGACTGAACCCTGATCGGATCAGGCCTAATGGAGTCGGCATACAGGAGTTGTGAGCGTAATTTCAAGTGACCTTCCATACAAAGATGGCAATGCCCGATCCACAGTGGTACTCTTATTACATTTATCTGATAATAATGTAAAAGATATTGTCGTTTTTCTTATAATCAAAAGAGTTTATTTCTGATAATATCTAAATAGTTTCCTGCAATAGAAATGCGCCAGTCAAATTTTTAAAGAACCCACAAATGAAAATAATAAGTTTTCAAAATTATTAATATTGATATCTAATTCATACTTGGCCGGACAAAGCTGTGAATCGGGCATTGCATGGAGCATCATTTGAAATAACCAAGGAGTATTAAATACAGCTGTCGCGGCCCGCCCTACCATATGACTATACATGCTTTGCAGACGGTACTCCATTTGTATAAGAAATATTCAGAATAGTTTGTTGTATACGCGCTAATTCAAATTGTACATCAGACAAAAATTTCTTATACAAATGGAGTACCGTCATATGGAAGGGCGATCCGCGTCAGTTGTATGTCCCTTCTATTTCATTCTCCCTAAAAATAAGGCGTACAGTCCCTTAAATTAAAGAATAGTTAACCTGAAGAAGTCTGATATCTACACCAGTTCTAGGAGATCCTTTAGCTCCACCTCCATCACCTTTCCTATATTCACAATTCAAATCAAAAATTTACTTCATAAGGGAACTGTTCGCGAGAAAACAGGAGTAACTGTGTAAATCAGTTTTCCAGTGAGAAACTGAATTCCGATCGTAATTTTGGTGTCTTTAAAGAAGGGTTAATCCCACGTTTTATTTTGTTCTGACAACTCCCTTCTTTAGTGCACTACAATATCATAACTTTCATAAATTTAAACATTTTCGATTGGAAAGGCGAGTAAGGGACGGAAATTTTTAAACGAAGGAAAACAAAGAAAAGCAGATTGACATTAATTAAAAACTTTAGAGCTGATAAATTAAGCACATACGATGATAATTATAATGATAACATTCAAAACAAATACTAAAATTTAATGAGTTATCCAAAATATCAAAGTTAAGATAATTGGAGAGGCACTATTGTCAGAGGCTTTCATGAACCAAAATTTCCAATAATAATAATAATAATAATAATCGCAGTCAACCCTTATCCTTAGGCATGACAATACCTGGGAGAATTTCTTGAGGGTGAATTTTCTGCGGATTTTCGTCTTTTGTCGACCTCAGACGCCATAGCAACAAGACGATCAAAACCCTCAGAAATCTCATCCTAAAATATTACAATTTTATATATATTTATAATTGTATCCATACATTTTATTCAAACAATGTATGAAAAAAGGTTCTGTGTAAAAATTAGTCAGTTTCTGATTAAAAGAAAAAATACCGGGGTATTAAAAAAATCGGTCTTGTGAAAAATTGAAAATGTCAGCTTTTTCGGAAGATAAGAAAAAAAAACAGTTTTCATCAGAAAAGACAATCTATGTAATAGATTATTATTATTATTATGTTATAATCGTAAAAGATTCCCATTGTGAAATCCCGAGATCGCTATCGTGGTAAAATCCGGGACAAAAAACTAGGAGTAAAAAATACCGAAAAGTAAAAATTTTTGTTTGACCTGCCAGCGTCTGGTATCGTCAGGATCCCGTCTCTTCTTCCCGTCCTCTGTGAGCAGAGGTTTCTTACCTCCCGGAGACAGAATAGGACTACCAATCCTCTTCTTATCATTTACTCCGTCCTAATTAATTACTCTGTCTTAATAATCATCAGAAGAACTATCGAGGTAATTACATTAATGAGTGGCATGTTTGATACGCAACGGTACCCTATTAACCTTTGTCTGATCATCTACAACGAAGAAATCCGTATATATTGATAAAATATAATGGCGGCAGTACACACTGTAAGTGTACACGTAGTGTTGATCACAAGTTTTAAGATCACCGTTCCCTTTACTCAGAATTGATTACCCGACATCTTTGCCATCGGAATTAAATTCGGTTTAAATGGGCTATGAAACAGACATTCCAGTCTATAATGGAGGATTATTTGGAGAAAAGGAACATGAATGGGTAGAGGATTTTAATCCTGTATTAATATACAAATGGACAAATGGAACAATAGATAAATAAATGGATAGATAGATAGATACATGGATATACAGGGTGCGTAGTAATTATGGAAACTTAAAAAATAATTATAACATTTTTTATATTAAGCCCAATTTAGACATCTGATTTAAATAATTTTACGTATATTCAATGTTTGGGAGTAAATTGAATTTATTTCATCAAATTTAACCTTCTTCAACCTCAACAGAAGTCCTTTACCGGACCTCTAAACTCGGTACACATAGTATATAATTCAAACCGTCCCAGAAGACAGTAGTAATGATCTTCAGGTAAATGATCGTTATGTAAGCTTTCCTATGGATCACAGCTTGTATTCGCGCAAAAAAATTGAAAGACATTTTCTTTGGTCATCAAGATTTCAGCAGGTTTAAAACCATATTGTAGAAGGTCAGGCGCTGCTTTTGCACTAAAGTCATTCAATAAAAAAATTCCTTTTGTCAAATTTTAATTCTTTTACAAGTTTCTTGTGGTCTCCTTTGGACAGTAGCCATATTATGACAGTTTAAATAAGTTTCCATCATACTACGCATACTGTATGTAATATATATGTATGTTTATACCTATCTTTTAATGGTATAATACATGGATGGACAGATAGATAGATAATTACCTGAGTAGGATCGGGAGTGTGCAGAGAGGATTTTGATCCAGTACTGGTGGGCCGGGATTGTGTCTGTACAGGATCAGGGGAGGAAAATCTAAAAATAGTTTTCCAATTTTAACTCTTAAATTGATTTTCGAGAACATTAATCTTTTAAACAAAACAAACAGATAAAACTTACACTTCCCCCCCCCCCCCCCCCCCCCCCAAGGTAATATAGAACAGGTGGCATTTACCACAGATTCATAATTTTGAAGCGAAGGGTCGCTGGACATTTTCGTTCCCTGGATCCGGATCCGAGAAAATATGCGTATCCACAGATACGGATATTTTCGTTCCCTGGATCCGGATCCGAGAAAATATGCGTATCCACAGATACGGATATTTTTGTTCCCTGGATCTGGATCCGAGAAAATATCCGTATCCACAGATACGGATATTTTCGTTCCCTTGATCCGGATCCCAGAAATTATGCGTATCCACAAATAAGGATAAAAATAAATGGACCCTAAGCAATGCTTGTTCAGTACCTGGCTCCAAAGCTGTCTGGTCCAGCAGAAGATGTACCGGCACGGGATCCACCCTTCTCCTATAATAGGAAACATGAACATGGTACAATACTTAAATTAACATTTTATTTAAAATAAATTCAAGAGAATGCTCACAAATTTTGAAAGAATTAGACCTTTACATTCTTCGATTGTCAGGTTTGTGAAATTGTGAGGATCGTTTGAAAAGTTTTGGCTACGGTACATTAGAACAAAAATAATCGTCCTATACTCCTTTTCAAAGATATAAGAACATTCCCTTTAAAAACATGCCTAAAAGTGAAAATACTTACAACAAAAATTTACAAATTAATCACACACAAAAATTATGCTCTATCACTTAAGTTCCATTTTTCCAAGGATAACTTACTTTTTCTTTTGCTAAGTAGGTATCAAATCTTGCTGCTAGTCCCTCAACTTGGGGCAGGGAACCTGCAGAACTTGCTGGGGGACCTAAACAGTTACGTGACGTGTTGTGAAGTATCGTATCGTATCGTGGTGTGGTGTGGTGCGGTGCGGTGCGGTGCGGTGCAGTGCGGTGCAGTGCGGTGCAGTGCGGTGCGGTGCGGTGCAGTGCATCGCAGTGCAGTGCAGTGCAGTGCAGTGCAGTGCAGTGCAGTGCAGTGCAGTGCAGTGTAGTGTAGTGTAGTGTAGTGTAGTGTAGTGTAGTGTAGTGTAGTGTAGTGTAGTGTAGTGTAGTGTAGTGTAGTGTAGTGTAGTGTAGTGTAGTGTAGTGTAGTGTAGTGTAGTGTAGTGTAGTGTAGTGTAGTGTAGTGTAGTGTAGTGTAGTGTAGTGTAGTGTAGTGTAGTGAAGTGTAGTGTAGTATGCCTACCTTGCTTTCTATCCTGTATATTGCTACCCCCTCTGGGACAAGCCAGTCCTTCTAGATTATCTTCAGATTGTACAACAGCACTATACTTATTCCTTCTCTGCTCCTTAACATAACACATAATGCCAGGGGTGTATATTAGTTGTGAGACTCATATTTTTGCCCCCCCCCCCTTTCAGAATAATATTTTTTCCTCAATTTCACAACTTATATTTTACAGGTTTCTGAAGCCCGCGCAAACTTCGAAAGAAAAGTGTGGATTTTAGTAGTCTAATGGAGCGTTTTGGTGCCCTAATAAGGTCAACTTCAAGGTCCCCACTGAGTTTTCTGATACTGTTTAAAATTTTTTGTTTTCGTTTTTTGTGTGATTTTTTCCCTTCCCTCTTTACCCTGCATGATAATGATCAAGAATTTTTAGCAGATAACTACAAATATTGTCTTTGAGTTGATATCACTTACCCGTTCTGCTTCTTTACGGATACTTTCCTCAATAATCATGGACATCCTGGTAGCACTAGATCCTTGGTTCTGCTGGTTCTGCATTGCCTTCTCTACTGACATGTGAATCATCTGCTTAGATGTAAGAGTCTGATGGCTGTTAGAGACTGTGCTGCTACTGCTGACAAGCCTGCTAGGATCTGAATGAAATTGTTTTCGGGTAATCTCAGCAGATTCGGAGACAGGTGGACGGTTGGAGTCGGGTTGGGGCAGGTATCCGGGTCTACCTGTATCGGGCATGTGGGACACCCGCTGCTGCTCACCATGATACCTTGAGTCAGAACCACGCGGGTCAGTCCTACTTGCATCATGAGGAGATATAAGACGAGGGTCAACTCGTCCTGCATGCTGCAGTCTCATTTCCTACATTATGAGCCCTTATTTTTATCATCATTTAGTAACAATAATTTTCTTACACAAATTTATTTAGTTATGAAACCTTAAATAAAAATAAAATATCTTCAGGAGAAGTTTTGAATCGCTCAGATTTAAACTTTTCTTAGAAATGTGTTGCAATATGCTTTATAATAAATCAATGTTTAAGGCTAACCTGTGAAAGTCTTGCGTCTTGTAGAGCTTGGAATCTTGGATCTTGTGAATATCTTCCATCCAATCTTGGATCTTGAGCAACTCGTGGGTCATGTACCATCCGACCATCCATTCTTGGATCTTGGGGCTGTCGTCCTTCCATTCTTGGGTCCTGTGGTGGTCTGACATTCATTCTTGGATCTTGCTGAAGTCTCACATCCATTCTTGGATCCTGTGTGGGTCTTCCATCCATTCTTGGATCCTGTGGTGGCCTTCCATCCATTCTTGGATCCTGTGATGGCCTTCCATCTATTCTTGGATCCTGTGGTGGCCTTCCATCCATTCTTGGGTCTTGTTGTGGTCTTCCATCCATTCTTGTATCCTGTGGTGGCCTTCCATCCATTCTTGGGTCTTGTTGTGGTCTTCCATCCATTCTTGTATCTTGGGGTGGTCTTCCATCTATTCTTGGGTCTTGTGGTGGTCTTCCTTCCATTCTTGGATCTTGACTTCTTGGATCCTGCTGTAATAACCTCCCTTGATCAATCCCTAGTCTTGGATCTAGGGATTGCTGACTAGGAGGTCTACCACGTTGCGCCTTTTGCTGCTGTTGATGTTGCAGTTGTTGTAGTTGATGATGTTGCAGTTGAGCTTGTCGTCGACGCTGTTCTTGCATAATCTGGTGAGATTTTGCGTCTTTCCCAGGGGAAGTATTCTTTTCTCCTTCCTAAAATATTTTATTTAACCAAAAAAGCTTTAAAGTTAACAAAACTTAGTTTAGGAAATAAAAGATTCTATAAACAAATTTTGTCCTATAATATGAACTGTATTTGTAATATCAGTGACTCTCAATTTAAACTGTTCTAATGCTAGAAAAACGTTGAAATCTTTCACATTTATGATTAGATAAAGGTTTTTAGAGTACCGTTGTGAATCGGACATGCACCACTTTTTTAGTAAAGGGTAACTGGACGTTTAACAGTCCCTTAAAATACCTTCTCCTTGGCCAGCTCTGTTGTGATTATCATCTTGACCCGATCTTCATAATCATCTGCAGCCTTGGGTGCACACAGGATCTTATTTCGTTCTATCTCGGACAAACCATCCGAGCTTCTGAAACAGAGAAAACTTAATTTAAATTCCAGGACTGAAGCAACAAACAAGAAGATCCACTATTAATTTTGATTGACGTAAAGGTTACAGCGTTAAAGTTCAACGATCACTTTTGTTTTTCATCGTTTTTAAGGTTTTTAGTTGGCAAATATTTTGAAAAAAAAACCTTTTCATACAATGTAAACAATCTTTAAAGTCCAGTTAAAGTTGCAAAAAAAATACGGCATCCTTTTTTTTCTTATCCTAGGGTGAACTTATATGAAAAAAATCAAATGGGACCACCATTTTTTATACTTCTTGTAAATAAATAAATAATATAAATCTATTAACCCCCCCCCCCAAAAAAAACGCATTTCTTTCCACAAAAAAAAAATTAATTCAGATTTTAAAATTCTGAACTTTTTTTGGCACTCAACATTAAACTTCTTAAGGTCTGACTGATAATAAGATTTTTAGGAAAAGGGAAGGGATAAATATCTTAATCTAAGTAATGTTACAGAACGTTAGATAACATAGAATTACATTAATTTGCAAGGTTATTTTTAGGTTTTATTTTAAAAACAATTATGTTACGGTATACTTAGTGTGACGTAATTTTTTAACGTCAAATAATGTTATTTTGTAATTCTAAATTTACGTTATTTGACATGTTGGGTAATCCTACCTAGACCTATTCTCCTCAGATCGAAGAATAGAAAATGAACTTTCCCCGGGTAGCTTTAGCTCCATCTTTGGTAGACCCAGTGGACTCTCCTTTTTAAAACAAATTAAATCAAAACAAAGCATACTTTACAGGGATTTCTTATGGAATCCTTTCATCAAAACAGAGTTTCAAATCCTTATCATATTCTGTTTTCAACCCGATCATCAACTATTAGCTTGTATCCTGTGTGATACGATTTAACCCTCTGGAATATTAAAAAAATATGATCTTTTAGTCATTTTTGAAAAAAAAGCTGCTCAAATTTTATTCCAGTTTATCAGTTCAAAATTCAAATTATTTAAGTTGGTTTAATTCTTTCATTGATCAATGCCTGATTCACAACAATTAAAAGTAACACTTTAACAAAGAGACGCTGTTAATTGACAACTTCGCTTCGTTTAAATATTTCAGTGTTTCTGCTCTTTGAAAGTTTGGTAGACATCAAAATTGAAATAGAAAGTCGTCTTTATTGTATTGATATAAACGACGACGTCTACATGAGCACAAAGATTGAACTTGATGCCCAAAAACACTGTAAAGTCAAATTCCAGGAGATGAAAGGAAAATAAAAAAGATACGCGATGAAAGAGCTTTTCATATAAAGCGGAGTTAATGCTTTAAGACTTTAATTAGAGCGCTTAGGTTGATTGGGGAACCGACGATGCGAGTTGGAAAATATTTAACATTTTAGCATGAATAGATTATTAATATTCCAACCCTCAAACCGTAAAATTATAGCTAACCTTATCTTTATCTTTCTCTTGGACTTTTTCCGGAGCAGCTACTTTGGTGAGCGTGACGTCACTAGAGAGCTTTGGGAGCTGCTGATTACGGGGATCAAAGCAGTTTCTGATTTCACGCTAAATTATCAATCAATCAATAAATCAATAAATTAAATCAATCAATCAATCAAGCATTCAGTCCGTCATTCAATCAGCCAGTAAGTCAATCAGTCAGTCAGTCAATAAACAACAAATATTTCAATCGATCTCAATCATTTTACAAAAAAATACTAAAATCAATTATTGAAAAAAAATTTAAAACGAATCTTCGACCAAATGAAAAAGACAATTTTTCACAACCTAATTAATTTTGCTGTATTGAGAGCACTTCGCAGCCGGGTAATTTGGAAAAAGAAAATGTAAATGAATTGATATTTTGATTTTTATGTTTTTATTTTTTTTATTATTCAAATCTTTTGTTACACTTTTACTTAAGTTTACTTTGTTACACATGTAACAAAGTAAACTTTATATATATATATATCAAAAACACGTACATTTTGATTTTAGTTTTTACATAGGGTATCATCTATGTAGAAATCGTAAATATTGGATAAATGACACATTTTACATGTTTTATTTTAAAGTAAAGTAAATTCAGTAGGGACAATTAAGTAAGCTGGCAGTATTTTATGAGAGCTCGTAGGGACCAAGAAATTTTCGTTTTTCAAATCAAATAAAGGCCGACTTGCAACAAGTAGCAAAAGGCAGAATCTAAGAAGGTGATCCGAAAAAATATGAAATTATAAAAAACAAGATGCGAATAAAAGAAAAAAAGAACAAAATATGTTTTTAATGATTTATCTGAACCTTTACTTTGCTACTATTACATTGAAGATAGTAAAGTATAGTGGTTTATTAGAACACTAGGTAGCAGTTCAAATTGTGTTCATTGCAACAACAATAATGATCTACTACTTTTGTAGACGAAACAATTCTCCTGAATCTGATAATAAAATTTAAAAATATTGACTAACAAACCTGAACATATTGCTTCAGTTCAGAAACATTAACATCACTCCCAGATTTTCTCGCAAGAAGCTGAACATATATTTTTGAAAATAACAATGTTAACAAAATATATCTAAGAATATCAGGATATTGTAATCTTTAGAGTAGTGTGTACATTTTACAGTGCAAGGTGTAGTATGGTTACCTGTTCTAATAATTCCATCTCTTTACAGTGCAAGGTGTAGTATGGTTACCTATTCTAATAATTCCATCTCTTACAGTGCAAGGTGTAGTAATGGTTACCTGTTCTAATAATTCCATCTCTTTACAGTGCAAGGTGTAGTATGGTTACCTGTTCTAATAATTCCATCTCTTTAGCTTGAACCATTTGCTCCTGTTCAACTTCAAGCCTGGATCAATTTGATTTATAATGTTTTCTTTTTTAATAATAAATGCGACACATACAACACATTAATAAACTTTTTTAATATGCATTAAGAAGTGCACTAATGTTCCAATAGACTAAAAACCAGATTGCGAACAGCCGAATTTAGTGCAATTGAGCGGTAGTTCAATTTATAATAGTCAAATCGATCTAGCTTCATTAGTACGGAACTGAACTTTATTTATTATTATTATTAAAGTTTATTTCGCACACAAAAAATAATACAAAAAAATTAAGACATCAATTATGTAATATGCCTACTTTTAAGTTTTCATGCATAAAAACCATCCTTCTACGACAATGCTAATTTATGTTTAATCACTGTTTATATTTGCCGGAGAGTAAAACGTTACCTTTTTATCTCCTGCTCTAAACCTCCCTTTTTCTTTAATAGATCAGTGTGTGAACAAACTATATTCTTAGCTTGAGAAGTAAATTCTGTAGGAGTTGTAGCGTTCATTCCTAGCTCACGAATCCGGGCCTAACATTAGTAGTACATATTAAAACTTTAAATTTCAAGTCACCCTCCATGCAAAGACGGCAACGATAGCCTTTAAACCGTTGTTTGGTCAAGCATTAATTAGATATCCATGTTTTTTGTTTCTTTTTGTTGTTTATTTTCATTTTCTGGTTCTCTGCGAAGTGACTTGCGCATTTTTTACTTGTAAGAAGCAATGGAAATACAATAAGAATTAAAAACTTTTCGAGTAAAGAAAACTAAGGACTCTTGCACATTTTTTTTCTTCAAAATGTTACCCTTGAAATATCTGCTAATCAAGTATTAATTAGATATTAATTTTAATAACCGATTATGTTCAATTGACATGCGCAGTTCTACTGCAGGAAAACATGTGGGAATTAACTGAATTAGAAAAACGGCAATACTTTCTACATTATTGTGTGGTACCGTTGTGAATCGAACATTGTAATTTTTGCATTGAGAAACACTTAATTATGCTTTCGTTACTTTTAGAGAATCGATAATAAATATGTTTTGTTTTAAATCAGATTTACATTATAATTATTGTAAATCATAGCTTTGAGAAATTGAAAATAATTGTAATACCTTTAGAAGTCCAAGGCTGTCTTGAATCAATCCATCTATCTGGTTTTCCAGCTGAGCCACTCTCTTCGTTAAACTCTCTTTTCTAAACAAAATAGTAGGAATAAATATTTCGTTGAAAAATAATTTGTTGAAAATAGTCTAATTACAATTTATTGTTAATTTTTTCTTGATTTTTTCAAACCACTAATTGTTCTTTAACTTTAAATTTAAGAGAATATACATACGAATCATTTCTCGTAAATGTTCTAGCATCTCTGAGACCAAATTTAATGAATTTGCGGGGTCACTGAACTGCCTACAGCCAGTTAAAATTTGAATCACCGATTCAAATCCTTCTTGATCTTAAACTTTGAATCGTTGGTTTAAATTTTAACTGGCCGTAGGTAGTTCACCGACGTAGCTCAAATTCATAAAATTCGGCCCCTGTTTACCTTTCTTTCTCGTGCTTTATCTCTTCTTTAATGTTTTGTGAATACTCTTTAGTCTGCATCGTCTGGACAATCAATATATGTTCAAATCATCTGTTAGAGACTATATTATTTTTGCCAGTGAAAAGTAACTATCTTGCTTCTTGGAACTGAATTCGTGGATCCGCATACTTGGAGGCAAAATATCAAATCAAAACATTGGGAAAATAACAGTTTTGGCTCCAAAAAACAAATTTTAAATGTTAACTATTGAGAGTCCATTAAAAACCTCCGTAATCATTAAATGTTTTTGGTAGAAGAACTTTGCAAATCAATATTTAAGAACTGAATTCTGCTCGGATCCATGTTTTTACAGACTGACTGGAATCGGATATGCATTATTTTTGACAGTGAGTGAGTCGGAACATACAAGCTACTTGAATCCGGATCCATATATCCATACATTTGTCGCAAACATCGGGGGAACAACATCACTAAGTGCTTAAATTTTCCTAATCATCAAATAAGAAATCAAATATCTACAATCTACATAAATAACAATTTTCGAAAAAAAAATTGGTTTTAGGTGAAAGAGCATAGCAAATATTTATGAGCTAGGTCCTGATCCGGATCCAGTTTTTTACAGGACGGATTCAGGCTCCGGATCTTCATCAGGATTTAGGACTCAGATCTGCATTAGGATATAGGATCCAGATCCGCATCAAGATCCAGGACCTGGGTCTGCATTTAGGATCCAGGATCCGGTTCTGCAGAAAAAGCTAATAATGCAGATAAAGCTAATAATGCAGATAAAGCTAATAATGCAGATAAAGCTAATAATGCAGATAAAGCTAATAAGGATCTAAGTTAATCCCTGATTTTTGTTCAATGTCTCTCATAAACTTAAGTTTGTAAAACGTATAAAAGGAGGGTTCCCGTTTCTTGAAAATGAATTCTATGATGATAGAGAAAAATAAAACTATTTATTTTAAAATATATTTTCCTTGATCATAGATAAATACTGTTTCTTCATGGACTCCAGCAGAATATGGAGCCCGTGGGGGATCCTGTTCTCCCCTAGTAACAGACACAAAAACTATGAGATAAAAATATACGAAATAAACCAAAAAAAAGTTTTATAGATGGTCAACAATATTTTGCTGCCATAAATTTGAGTCCACATCAACAAAAACAAACATAAAATTGTGTGTTTGCACTCAAAAAAAGCACCGATTTCTGTGGGGGAAAAATAAACAATTGGAAATCAGAAGGCAAGTTTTTTCATCCTTTTACCTACGTTAAATCCAAAAATTTATTTTCCCCTAGAAATAATTTATTTTCCCCAACTCAGCGAATAAACCCCTGATAGAATTGCGCAAACATAAATTCATGAGAAAAAAAAATGATTTTCAAAAGAGGGTAGGAAAACTATTTTTCTATTAATATTTACCGTTGTAAACGTGGAATGGAACTTCATCGTGGAAAAGTTCTTCCGGAGGTAGAATATTCAGATTCTCATTAGCACATCCTGTATTGAAAAATAATTGAAAACATACTTACTTCCGGTTAGTCACTTTCCGGATATTTAAAAAAACTAGAAAGCAAAATATAATTTTTTATGACATAAATAAAAAGTTTAGGCCTCACAGGCACACAATGTGACGGAAGGTTTGATTTAACATTTGATAAAATTCCATAACATTATATCTTTTGTCTGAAGTTCAATAAAATCAAATTATTTTGGGAGTCAATTGCTTTAGGCTTTACTTCTTATATGAAGTTCCAGCACAAAATCTAAGGATTCAAATTTTTGGCTTCGTTTCGTAGGTAAAAAAGAGACAAATATGACAATAATCTAAACAGAAAATAAAAAATTGGTTTGACAAGATTAACAGTATATCTTAATTCTTAGTGCTATATTAAGAGTTTAATCTCACCAAAAGGTAGTTTCTCTGTATTATTGTACTCGGATATCTTTGACATAGTTTCCTTGTGCATAAAGTCCAGTTCTGAGATCAGGCTGGAGGGAGGACTAGGACGCTTAGAGATCACCTGGAGGTGCAATCAATCAATCAATCAATCAATTAAGTTATATTAGTATTCAAACAGAGATAGATTGGATACAGGACTGGGACACTTAAGGTGGTCTACCTAGAGTAGCAATAAATCAATCAATATATCCATCAAAAATCAAGAAATCAACCAATCAGCCAAGAAATCAATCAATCATTCAAATAACTAATCAAATAATCAAGCGACCAGTTAACCAAAAATCAAATCTATCAATCTATCGATCAAATAAAATCAATCAATCAGTGAATTATCATTAGTTTTTTATTAGAGACGCTGAGAGATTACCTGCAGTAGCAATTGATCAATCAATCAATCTGACAATTAATCAGTTGATTAGACAATAAATCAATCAATCAACCAGTACACATACTCATACACTTATCAATCAATCAACAACTGCATCAATCTTTCAATAAACCAATTATCGATCGATCAGAAAATAACTCAGGCAATAACAATCAACGATTCGATCTTATAAATATACCATCATATTTTACAAATATGAAACCTTCTACTTTTAAAGGGACTGTAGACGTAATTTCAAGTGACCCTCCATTAAAGGAGTGGCATATTCGATTTATAACTCACCGTTACAACCTTTATACGATTTAATATTTATCATCTTCTAAAAAAAAAGACTGGCTATTTGCAATATTCTGAGAATTTAACATTTTCACAGCTAGAGAAACGACAATATCTTCAACATGATTGATCAGATAAAGGGTTAAAAGGTACCGATGTGAATCGGAAACGGCCCTTGCCTTGAAATTAAAACCATAGTCCCTTTAACTCACACAGTATTAAGAAATTACATTCCCTGATAATATTCGTGCTACTGTTTACCTTTTTAGTTCCTGTTTTAGTAGGCCTAGGAAGCCTGTCACCTTCATTTAGATGCTTGTATTTTCCTCGGCCTCGCATCTTGGATGTTCTTTAAAATAAAATAATAATTTTAGATTTTTATGATTTTAAAAAATGATATTTTACTGAAAATTGTATTTACACAATGCACATACCTGCGTCCCAGAGAAGAAAAAATATCGTTCTGAGCTTCCGTGATGGCCGCGGCATTGACAACGGCTGCGCGCACTGGTCTACCAGACCCAGAACCGGTTTCCAAGCTGTCCGAGTTGTGCGGAGATTCTCCTAAAAATCCCCCAAATATAAGAAAATCCGCAAAAAAGGTTGTGGAGTATTTGTTTACCTCTGCTTGGGGGAACAGAGGTGTCGGGGGTAGTTTCCAGTTCTTCACCTCCTACTCCCTCCAAGTTATTCAAGAAGCTCGTCACCTAAACAGAAATAAATAAGTCAAGCTATAAACTAACACTATCTGTCAAATATACATAAACCAATCTGAAATCTAACATCACCATCTTCAAATTTCAGCTATTTAATTTATTAATAAACAAATCTTTCACTCAATCAATCAACCAATTATTCGATTCTTAAATTTCCCAAATAATCAATTCTTAAATCAACCAATTAATCCATTCTTAAATCAACCAATTAATCCATTCTTAAATCAACCAATTAATCGATTCTTAAATCAACCAATTAATCAATTCTTAAATCAACCAATTAATCGATTCTTAAATCAACCAATTAATTGATTCTTAAATCAACCAATCAAAAGGACGAAAATCAACAAATCAATCAGATATTTAATCAATCAATCACGCGAACAACCAAGCAAATAACCAAATATCCACAAAAAATCTAAGAAATTCACATTATCAACCAATAACCAAACGACCCTACCTAACAAAACAACTACGAAATAATGAAATTCCATTTAGAGAGTAAAACAGTCATTAAAAATCATTTTATCAATTATGAAGCAAAAATTAAAACATGAAGAAAACGATTGGACATTTGTAGGTTAGTAAATAAATTGCTACCTTCTCTACGTGTCCGTCTAGAACCCTCGGTGTGGACTTTTTCTTGGTAAACTTCTTCTTAGACCTGCCTCTGCCTTTGGGTTTAGGCTTTCCATCACTCTCCTCCCCACTGTTTGTAGAGAGATGAGCAAACGGAGAATCCAATTCCTTCTCCAAAGAGGAAGCTCTAAAATAAATAACATGTTAAAAAATAACGGATAGAAAGATCTTAACTTTGCTTTACAAAATATAATTGAATCATATACACATCTTCCGTAGCTCGACTTCAGGTGTTAAAATCATCCTAGCGGTTCTTAGACTGATCTTTAAATATCGAATTAATTGGTTGAAAACAAGAACGCCCCCCCCCCTTACCCCATACCTACAGAAAACAACATTAAATTACCTGCTTGCACTTCCATTACTGGCACTGTCATCAAGTAAACTATGTCCGGTTCTTCTAAACATTTTCAGCTTAAATCTTCTGTAGTGATCTTTTTTACAGCCCTTATCAGAAAGACCCGGTTCTATTAATTTAGGAAGACTTAACAATATAATTTTACAAATATGATTGATGAAACGATATTCACAAGATAGTCCTAGTCCTGCCATTTCCAAAATGTGGTCTGCCTCTGTTGAGCATTTAAAATTGCCTAGATATATACGTAAAGCCGCCTGAATAACTGTCAATTTATTCCGGGTACAATTGTACCGTACGGGTATGCAATTCTGTAAATAGAAGAGAAGGGCACTTGAATTAACGTTTCCCTTTAACAATCAGTTGTTTTTCGTAAACTTTAAAATGAATTGTAGTCGTCGTCCTATTGGTTGGTTTGTTACCTAGATCTGGTGTGGTGAGATTGTTGTCTATTAAAATATCTTTCCAGCTTCGTAGAGTCAATAATATGGAGGTAGTAGGATACAGGCTTATCAGTCCAGGATACAGAACCTAGATACAGAGTAGAATACAGGCATATCAGTCCAGGATACAGAACCTAGATATAGAGTAGGATACAGGCTTATCAGTCCAGGATACAGAACCTAGATATAGAGTAGGATACAGGCATATCAGTCCAGGATACAGAACCTAGATATAGAGTAGGATACAGGCTTATAAGTCCAGGATACAGAACCTAGATGTAGAGTAGGATACAGGCTTATCAGTCCAGGATACAGAACCTAGATATAGACTAGAGAAGGATACAGGCTTATCAGTTATGAGTCCACAATACAAAACATAGAAGTAGAGTAGGATACAGGCTTATCAGTCCAGGATACAGAACCTAGAAAAATGTAGGGATCAGGCTTTACCTTGAAGGGGGTCCATGATGCTAACATGCATGATGCTACCGATATCGGAGAGGTTTCTCTCAGTAATTCTGAAGTTGAGTGGACAAAATGGTTTGCTTGACACTATCCTGGCTCCATCTTTAAGATCAGCAAACCTTAAGACAGGGATATGAAATTCCTTGAAAAATAATTCATCCCCCTTTCCCTCTTAAACCCTCCCTCCATGCAAATTGCAAAGATTGTAATGTCCGATTCACAATGGTACCCTTGAACCCTTTATCTGATTAATAATGTGGAAAATATTGTTGACGTTTCCCTAGATTAAATGTTTTAAATTCTTTAATTTGTCCAATATGCTCTCTTGCAATAGAAATGCGCAAGTCACTTTTATAGAGAAGCCACAATTGGAAATAACAAGTTTTTAAAATAATAATTCATATTTGATTCGATCACTTAAACGGACAAAACTTTACATGGTACTTGTGTAATTGGGATTTCTTACCTCTCCTTGAGCATGTGATCAACCTCAGGTCCGAATGCGTAGTTGTTGACGAAGACGATCGTGGATTCACTGATAGTTTCACGGTGCTCAGGGGTCAGGAAATCCCCCTGGAGGCAAAACCATAATCATTAATTAAGGAAACTAATTAGAATAAAAAGAACAATATGCAAGGTATTAAAGTACAAGGCTTTTAAGGCACTTTGCGCCCATCTTCTATTTCAGCTTTAATTATGGCTGTATCTGTGAGCATCTTCTCTTTGTACAATATAAAACAAATCAAAAAAAAGTTCCCAGATTTCATAACATTTTTCGTGGATTATCAAAAATATGCAAATATTTTTTGGAGACAACTTTTTGTTATTATAAGCATCTAAAACCCTTCCCTGGGATCATGAGAGGTCCCAAACAAAATTTGCCCCCGATAAGTTCAGTCGTTTTGACGTTTATTGAATACAAACAGGCAGAAAGAACAGTAAATATATAATATATATAAATTATAGAAGAACGAAAGAAATGGGGAAAATAATCCTCTAAAAACATATCCACATTCTTGGATCAAAAAAAATATTTATTTTGTATTATTTCAGGGTTAGGTTAGGTTAGGACAATTTCTGCTAGGACAGAACTTCAATTTCAACAATTTTCAACAAAATTAGTATAAATTTAGGATTAGGTTAGGACACTTTCTGGGTCAAGCGCTGCGGCTAGGACAGGCTTGAAGCCGAGCGCTGCCGCTAGGACATGCTATGGGGCCGGGCGCTGCGGCCACATGACCAACTTTATCCATGTGTGTCTATTTTAAAACTAACTAAAAATCGATAAAAAAAATATGTACAAAATTGATAGGAGGGGGGCGGGGGTTGGGGCCGGGGTCCAAAAATTGTTCTCTTGGAAATTACCACACACATCCATAGAAAAAAAGTGTTGTTTGCTATGTATTAGCAACTAAGCCTCATGTTAAATAATAAATTCATATGATTTGGTAGGGAAAATAAACCAACTTTTGAGGTAGGTAAAACAAGAAGACTTTAAAGTTTTTAACTTTTTTCACAAAATTGCTGATTATTGTTTCCTGATAAAGCTTGTACGGGCTGAATTTTTTCCCATACCAGGCCATCCACTTCTTAAACAAGGAATCCATCTCTACAGCTCGACCTCAAATAAAAAATGAGAATGAGAAAAAAAATCAATACATCGGAAATGAAATCTTCAGATCTACGTCTAAACGTAAGACCAGTCTAGGGACTGAAATATAAAAAGTAATAAGATATTATTATCATTATTATTATGAAAGGGCTTTCCAAATATTAGGGATTAGCACTTCTAGCCGCAAAAACGTATCCATGGTCATTGGTCATTGTTTAATGTGGTCTCTTCTGTAAATACAAAAAAAAATCGGGGGTAAAATCAAAGAAAAAATAGATTAAATAAACCATCGTTGTAATTTCAAGTATTCTTCTTTTAAAAAGAGGGAGATAACCGATTCACAATAGTAACCTTGAAATATTTAGCTGATCAATTTTATGGGAGTTAACGCTGTTCAATTTTGTAGAGAAACCACATTTGAAAATAATCAGTCAGACAAAACCTTTGAGGTAACATTGTTTATCAGACATGTCAATCAGGGTTGGCATAAAATGAAACCAGCCCAAAAAAAACTTCCTAAAAAAACCAATAAAACCCACTTTAAAAAAACACTTTTAAGTGGGCTTTTTTGGGTTTTATCTTATATTGATTAACTCCTCTTGAAATAAGGTCTACTATCAATTGTATTGATTTTTAGGAGTTTACAGAACTAAAACTGACACATTTAAAACCAATGATCTAAACAAAATGCATGTTATTCGAATATTGAGTTATTGAAAAAAATAACGAATTGATCAAAACAGTTAACCATGTCACTCTAGACTTGAAGACATTTTCTGGTTTTAGACCAGACAAATCCAATAGTGGTCTTGAGCGATATCTACCGATTAATCTGAGTAGCCCCCCCAATCAGTAGTATGTAAACAAGTTAGAAAATAGAAGTAGTCTGAAATCTATTGAACTATAATATAAAAAAATTGCAGTATTCCCCGTATGAAGAAGGGAGGTGATATTATTGTATTGGAAGAGTATTTATAATTGATTATAGCCTATTATCACAACAATATTTTTATTTTTCATAACTAAAAAGTTCACCTATTGCTTAAATAGTTTTATTATTATAAATTAATATACATTTTAGTAGGTTTTAACTTCTTTCAAATAAAAGAAAACAATAAAACCCACTGGGCTGGATTCTTTTTTATCTTTTTTTACACAAAAACCAGGTTTTTTTCCAACCCTGATGTCAATCAATTACGTCTATGGTCTATAGACGCGTTAAAATAATATTATTAATCAGGAATAACACCTGACGGTATGGTAGCTTTTTCTATCCCTACACACAACTGGCAATCAGTGAGAGCTGCAACTTGAAGAACAACCTAGATTATTCATGTCTTTATGAAAATATTTTTTTAAATACCCCCCCCCCTTACCGGGTTTCCCCAGTTATAGATTTACGTGTATTAATTTCTATAATTGTATTCTATTCAAAATTTCTTGTGCAAGTGGATTTTACTTGCGAGCAATTCCGGGTCCTGTAATTTCCCTTGCCCTTTCGAGCAATTCCGCACTGTTCCGTGCAATTCGATAACAGTTGCGCACAATTCCGAAAAAACGTAATTCCGTCTTGAATCCCTAATTCAATCCTTAAATACTCAAATCAACCACAAACTTTATTCCCTGAAAATCTTTTACCGCGTTGGATTTCTCCAGAGTTAGATTTGAATCGGAATGACGGAATGAACGTCTTTAATCTTTTTTTATTAGAAATTGCGCCAAGGATTTTTACAGTGCAACTATTTTAACTGATTTATCTCAGGGACCAGATTTCATGAATAGGGAAACATGTTGAACTACAGACTATTTCTCTTCAGCTTGAACCGGCTAACAAGTAACAAGAGAAGTATCTGAACTACGTCTGCGCGGTTTAGCTACTTCTCGTTATTCATTTAATCAGGTCCCATGAAATAATTTAAATAGTTACAAATTAATTCAAATCAGGCTATTAGAGACGTCCCTTACCCCTTACCCACACTCCAAGTACTTTAATCCTGAAAAATAATTTCAAAAAACAAAAATAGATAATCAACATAAAATAAGATTGCTACGATTTTGAAAGAATTGGTCCTTTTATTTCCCGGTCATATTGTTTTGTTTATTCTTATCGATCTTTACGAATAAAAGAAAGAACAAAGACGACAACTATTCCTATTTTGTTTCTGATCAGTTTACCTGCCCGACTCCTGAGCCAAGATCCAAAAACTTGTTCTCCGACGTGATCGGGCTAATCTGATCTATCATCTGATTTATCAAATCAAACGAAGTTTCACCGTAAACCTAGTAAAATATTAACAATAAAACAATATCTGATCTATCATCTGATTGATCAAATCAAACGAAGTTTCACCGTAAACCTAGTAAAACATTAACAATAAAACAATATCTGATCTATCATCTGATTTATAAAATCAAACGAAGTTTCACCGTAAACCTAGTAAAACATAAAACAAAATCTCATCTAATTTATCAAATCAAACCAAGTTTCACCGTAAACCTAGTAAAACAAAAAAAATGAAACAATATCTAATCTATTATCGGATTTATCAAATCAAACCTAGTAAAACATTAACAATAAGATCTTCCATCTGATATAACAATAAAAAATATATCTGATCTATCATCTGATTTATCAAATCAAACGAAGTTTCACCGTAAACCTAGTAAAACAAAAACATGAACTGCAAGAAACCAAATAAATATTTTTATATATTTCTGGGACAATAAGCATAATTTTAATTGACTATAAATGCAAAAATGTCAATGCCAGATTGACAATGGTTCCCCTTAAAAGCTTCGTCTGATCAAGTATGAATTATTAGCCATGTTTTTGTTTATCTAAACTGTTGAGTGTTGACCTTTATTCTCTGCAAAGTAACTTGTGCATTTCATGCTTACAAAAATCAATGGAGAAATGTACAGAAATAAACACTTTCCGAATCAGTAAAACGACGTTTTCTTCCACATTCTCGTTGTACATCGGACATAGGTATCTTTGCATAGAGGGTCAATTCAAATTTCGTTTCCAGTCCCTTTATCACTTAAATGTTTACCTCAGGGGTGAATGGTTCGTAATGATTGAGTTCGTTAGGATCACTAATAGCTGTGTTATACACCTGTAGCAAATACATTTAAAAGAGGGATATTTTTACATTTTTCAAAATAAACAACATTCCCCTAATTTACAGAATTAGGATCACAACCAAGCCCATTTTAAAACTCAAAGATGTCCCTGCACTTGGGGAATGTAAATTCTTTCTTTTGCCTACCTGAATGGAAGATGGGGAGGGGAGAAATAAAAACCATCAACGAGAACAAAAATGGGGGTAACCGTAAAAGGCCCAAATAAGAGGAAATAGTTGTATTAAAGGAAAAATTTCAATTTTCTTCCCTCAAGACTCAATTGATTTCCCTTTTCGATCTTCCCTATCAAGAGTTATGATCAAAATTAGGGAAGATAATAGATTTCCTTCCAAAGGAAACAATTATTTGAAAAAGTATTTTCAGGAGATATACCTCTAAACACATTCAATTGGTTTTCATCTTTTTGTTAATTTTCTTTTTTTATACCCAAATATACACAATACAAAATACACATACAATACAAACTACGGTTAATTCCCCCCCCCCAAAAAAAAAAAAAAAATTGGGGGGGAGATAAACCAAAAAATCTCCCAAGTATAATATTTATGTAAAAAATGATAAAAAGACCTGTTGAATAATGTGCCTAAGTAGCTGCCTCGTGGTTTTCTGATTCAACCTAAACAACAAAATTTAATTTTTCACGCATTATTTTTTCTCAAAACTTTACTTCACAAAATAATATATCTTTTAAATAAGGAGTAAAAAAAGTCTAACATTTCAGAGACTGTAAACGGAATTTCAATTGACCCACATGTAATAGAGAGGCAAGTCAGATTCACAACGGAACCCTAACAGCTGTGTCTGACCAAGTATCAATTAGAGATCTGTTTTTTTTATTCTTTTTAATTGTTTAATTGTTTTTTTCTGCAAAAGTGTCTTGCGTATTTCATGCTTCAGAAACAAAGAGAAATAAGCTGTAGCATATTCGAACACTTTCACAGCTAGATAAAAACGACGTTATCTTCCACAGTTAAGGTTTCAAGGTTATCGTCGTGAATCCGACATGCCTCTTCTTGTATGAAGTACCATTTAGAATAATGAGGACAGTCTCTATAAACCATTTAGTTTTCCAGCTAAAATCCAAATTTTCATAGCAAAGACCTTTTTAATATATTTATTTCCGAATTTTTATTGCACTCTTTACCTTTCTTTATGAAGTGATTGAGAAACAAATTCGTCCACAGCTGCATTATACGTATCCACAATTTTGCTCATGCAGTCCCAGGCGTGCCTTAACAAATTTTATAAATTAGTAATCTCTCTATTAATCTATTTGTTTGGTAATCTGGTTTTAACTCACGAACTCCTGGACTGATTTGCCTATTTTAATTGGGGAACTCATCAGATTCACGTACATTACGTGGCTTGTTTTAGCAATTCTTATTGATTTATAAGATTGACTTTTATAAGAATCTTTAGCTTCCAGGTTAAGCTGGGTTTCATCTGGAATTAATCTGGGTCAACATTCTAACATACATAAAACACCAAAAAAACTTTACAACATAATGAAACATAACATCTGCCACAAAAAGCATCTGTGTCCCTAACATCTGCCAAAAATAGTATCTTTTAAATCTGCCACAAATATTAGTCCCAAAAATCTGCCACAAAGTGTGGTCTCACCGTGACCACACCTGCTACAAAAGCTCTTCCCGTCTTGTGTATTGAGTAGGTCCCCCTGTCTGTCATATGTATTGAGAAGGTACCCTTGTCCCATACCTGTCGTATGTATAGAGTAGGTCACCATACCTGTCATATGTATTGAGTAGGTCCCCCATCTTCTCATGAACCTCAGGCCAATCAACTCCAACCCATTTTATACTCTCAACTATCTCACAAGCCTAGATTAAAGAACTATGTAGATAATACATGTAGATATAAGGCTGGTTTATGTCTCATATGCTAATCAAATATATAACCAATTAACCGAAATGCTCAACATAAATCAATATGATTGTATTTAATGTATGCGTTTTGAACAATAAATAGATTTTAATAATAAAAGGTTAATAGGGTACCACTCATTATTCAATACAAGTAAAAGCGCTCAGAATAATTGTGGTATCTGATTAGTAGCCTGAAACAATGTCGGTTGTCCGTTGCGTGAAAATTACAATATTATTAAAATGACTGAGTAATTCGTTGAATCATTGCAAATCATAAACCCAGGCTACAATTTTGATGTAGAGTAACTTTGAAACTGTAGAATGGAGGTAGGACAACCCTGGAAGTCTGATTTGATTTGATATTACGTTACTTTTAAAACGTCAAAAGAAAAAATCTGATCGTAAATTAAAATAAGAAAATCAGGAATTTGCTGACATTTTTGATTTCATTGGTAAATTTTCAGAATTTAAAATATCGAAATTGCATCGTGGCATAACAATTTTTATTTGGATCGGCAATAAAGCTTTTCTGTGGCCATGTGTTTACGTAATTAACTAAGGCCAGATCAACGGTAGGGGAAGAATAATGTTTTATATCATTTTGGAAATCCCAGATAATGGTCTAAAAGATAAAACCAACTTATACTGAATATTTTGAAAATTCATAGTTTCATAAGCAGTTTTAGCCCCAAAATCATTGATTTTATTGATGCGCACTTGCAGCTCACTAACATACCCTGAGAACTGAACGAAAAAAAATTATTTTTATTTTCATTTTCTATATTTTATACTTATTCTAAAATGTCATTAAAATGTTTATAAAATACATATTTTTGGACTTGGAATGTTGTTTAATATCATTTTGGAAACCCCAGATACTACTTACTAAGACTTAATATTAAAATTTGTTTTAAAAATTGTTGAAAACTATTTTATTTTCATCTAAGTTTAGTCGAAAAATAATCTGATTTTTTACTATATACTATCCTTGTTAAAACACTCGCTGACAAATATTAAAACATTTTTTTAGATTTTCATTTTCTATTTGATATATTCTATGCTTAATGGTTTAGACAAGAAATCTATAAACATTTTGAAGTGATATGTTATTGAAGAAAAGTGATTTTCCTCCACTTCAATGACATTTATTGAAAACTTGTAGAATCGTCAATTTTTAACTTCTGCAGGTCAAGGTTGGACACAATTTAATATCAAGCTATAAGTTAAACATGATAAATGGAACAAAAAATTATTTTGCATTTTTTCATCTCATAGCATTGCACGTTTTTCTCAATTGTTATGGAAAAATATATCATTTTTGAAAATATTTTTGTCCACAATCAAAAGAGATCTTCTGAAACACAATAAAGCAGACAAAATTTGGAGTTGAAACTGTCGTTTACTACATTTTTGTGAACTTGCAGCAAGAAACCTCCTGAGCAGCTTAATATGGCGAAAAATCAGGGCCATTCTCAAGAAAAGGACTGATTGGAGAACAGTTATGTCTATTGAATCTACAAAAATTGTTCCTTTTTTCCCTATGCCAAACGAACAGTTCCCGAATGTACCTGATGACTTCATACTGAAGCTTTGTCTGGGGGGCCCACAATGGGGTCTCTTGCAGATTTCAATTCCTTATGATTCCTTATAGTACCAGAGACATCTTTATCTCATATGCAAATGGGATTATATCTGAGCTGGGAACTTTTGATTTCTGGATATCGGGATTAATGCTAGATCAACTCTTTATCTCGAGATTAAATGAAGCTTGTTAAGTTGTTCTCCTCTTGTTAATAATCTCCAGATTAATTAACTGATCGGGATTAAGGATATCCCATTCAAAAGTTTTCAGCCCATGGAAATATTTCTACTGACATAGAAAAGAATAAATCTGGCCCAAATTCTAATTCCAGATGGCTAAACCAGTTCTCCAGACTGTTAAGAATATATGCAGCAACAACAAGTCTTCCTCATTGTCTGATACGTATAGTCCATCAAAGAAAGATGAAACAGCAGTTTCAAATCCAAATTTTGTCTGTTTTATTGTGTTCCAGAGGATCCATTTTGATTGTTGTGCACAGTAATACTTCCAAAAATTAAATATTTCAAAAATTAAATATTTTTGAATGACAATCAAGAAAACCGTGCAATGCTGAGATGAATAAAATGTAATATAATTTGTTGTTCCATTTATCATGTTTAGCTTATAGCTTGATATTTAAGCTCTTTAAATTGTGTTCAACCTTAATCTTACAGGGACTGTAAAGGAAAAATAAAAGGGGGTATAGGCTGAAAGCAAAAATGCAAAATAATTTGATATTTGATTGTGCCCAACCTTGACCTGCAGCAGTTAAAAATTGACGATTCTACAAGGATTTCATTACATGTCATTGAAGTGGAGGAAAATCACTTTTCTTCAATAACATATCACTTCAAAATATTTATAGATTTCTTAAGTTTAAAAGAACAAGTTCAAAATGTCCAAACACGTCATTAAATTTAAAGAGAGTTACAATTTTCAAAAAACTCGATAAAACGGAATTTTTTGAACTGTTCATTAATCGACCATTTTTGAAGGTATTTCAAAAAGTAATGACATTTTAGATTAAGTATAAAATATAGAAAATGAAAAAGAAAATAATTTTTCTCAGGGTATGTTAGTGAGCTGCAATTGCGCATCAATAAAATCGATGATTTTGGGGCTAAAACTGCTTATAAAACTATGATTTTTCAAAATATTCAGTATAAGTTGGTTTTATCTTTTAGACCATTATCTGGGATTTCCAAAATGATATAAAACATTATTCTCAGTCAAGTTTTAAGAAATAAAATCAATAAAGTTCAAAAATGGCCAAAAAATCACGTTTTTTTCCGACGGCACCGGAAAAAATGGTCAAAAATAAAAAATATTTTGGATTTTTCTTAGTTTCATATATATTTATTCAAAAGAAAAAGTGCAACTCTTAACAATTTATACAGGGCCGCCCTAGGGGGGGGGGGGGCGGAGAGGGGGTGTTCCTAATCTACCTGATCGTGTTCATCCTCGGCGCCCCTGAGATTTCCTCTCCCTACGGTCAGGGGCCACCTAATTAAGAAAATGAAAGTAATTTTATAAAATTTTAGTCAGTCCTGTTTCGGACTCTAACGATATAAACTAAAACGTCAGAAAAAAACTTAGATGAACCCTAAGCTCAAAAGAGTCCTTAAGAGTCAACCTTTTTCTCTTCTAATAATAATAACATCTATCTCATTGGTCAAAGTTTTGACAAATCAGACGGTCATAAACTTGAAACCTCGACAAATAAAAAATTTACTATGAACAAGTGATATGACAATGAAGGATTACTGCAGTTCATGTTCCTGACAGTTGGAGAGCTGCAGGATATCTGTGAGTAGCATAATGATTTCTTATACAGAGGTTTCCGTGTGTTCAACTTAATCTCAGATTTAATTAATTGCAAGAAGCAGTTGAACTAAATAGACTCAGTTGAAGCAATTCAATCAATAAAAGTAGTTTGACTCTGATTAAGTAGTTCAACTACTTCTAGCGATTTATTAAATGTAGTCCCCGATTTTGTATTATTTCCTAGTTTTACGACATAAATAAAATATAACCTGTATTCCATAGGCTCCGCCCCCGCAATACTCTTAAGAATTAGTGCTTTCCCCATTTTCTAAAATATAAACAAAATTCCTTAGTATATCTATTATTTTGTTGATGAAATAGATATTTATGATAATTCAAATATACTGAATATTTACAGAATAAGCAAAAAAAAACGAATTAAACAAATAATTCACCACTGATTTTGTTACTTTTTTCCATTAACAAAAATTTGAAATTAAAAAGATTTTAAACTTAATTTTAACTTTTATACCTATTATTTAACTAGTTAATATGGCTAAATACAGCCAACGTCACAAAACCATCATTTTTCCACCATCTGAAAATAAATTTAGTAAAAAAATATCAATTTGACATCCGTTCGGCTTTAAGTGCTCTGTAAGCTTCCACAACCCGTATTCGCTCCTTCTCCATGATAACTTGTTTTGCAAGGGACGGTTTATTCTTTTTAAATTTCTTGACAATACCACCGTTAAGCTGGGCTTTCAGGAGAAGATCTTTTTTACCGGGTTTTCGCTCCTCATCCTGTGGTTCCTGGACTTGGAGCTTTTTAGGTTTATAGTTTAGCGTGGGGGGTTCGTGAGCCACTTCCCCGAATTCGTAGGAATCCTTGAAACTATCAAAATCAAGTTCTTCATCAGACTGATTGCCGCGCCCTTTTTTCTTGTTTTTGCGCATTTTATCCCGCTCCCTCCTGGCTATCCGTTTCTCCTCCTTGGTTTTAACCTCGACCCCCTTCTTGAGCTTCTTGTTTTTCTTTTTGTTGTTTTCCTCTTGCAAGCCCTCCACCACGTCGGGTTGGGCCGGTACTGTACTAAAAAAATTTAATTGTAATCTTTAATTTTAAATTGTTTAATTCAATCAGAATATTTTCATTTTTGCTTGCCGCCGGACATTAATTGGAAGCAAAATCAATTAATATCTTCAAAAATTGGCTCGATAAGCATTTGTTTAACTAGAAAGTCTTTGTGCCAGGACTAGAGAGCGAGGACTAAACTTATGAGGATGCACAATGTGAGGTTAAGATCTCTACTCCGTGAGGTCAAGACCAGAGATTCCCGCTATGTTCCTAACTGGAGCCCTGGGGATTAAACATCAAGTATTCCAAGTAAGTATTCCACATTTTATCAATAAAATTACAGAAAATCATTCTTTCCATTGTTTGACTTTAAAGGAACTGAGTCCGAATTCAATGCGTTTGTGTCGCGTCTCAAATCCGCCAAGAACCGGTTTCCATCAAGCGGTGGCTTAAATCTTGAAACATTGAATACAATTTTAAGTGGAACCAACCATATTTAAGGCGTGTATTAAATTTAAGCCGCAGCTCAACTTCTGTAAATTCAGCCTCTGGAAACGTAGTTTCTAGTAAATCTCAATCTAAAGAGTGGCATGTCCGATTCACAACGGTACCCCTATAAGCTAAAGCTGATCATGTGTGCATGAGATATCAATCATCTTACCTATGCATTTCTGCTTTAATAACAATGGAGGAGTTCGTTAGAATCAAAACCTTAACGACGACGATGAGTTCTGACTGTTCACATTAATGATCATATTAAGGTTTTTGGGAATCTGTAAAAGGAGGTCACTTGAAATTAGCAATGCCGAGGATTTAATCTGTTGAAATTACAAATTGCAAACTGCATTCTGGCATAAGTCAAAGACATGGATGTAATTACAAACTATTGGATGGACAAATATTTCTAAGAATTAATCTAACCTGGTCTGGCCATGTTCGTCCATTTTAACTTCTACATTATATTTTTCTTCATAACTTCTTTGCTGTTTCATACTCTGTATAGTCTGATGCATTCTAAACAAACAAATATACAAATACTAGATTGGAAACCCAACTTTACTTGGAAACTAAACTTTCACTAAAATATTCAACCCAGTCAACCAGTGCTTAGGATCAATTTAATTTTGATTCGGATCCGGATCCTGGATTCGCACTGAAACAATATGATCCGGATTTACTGAATTTTTAAGAAAGCAGAATTGTCAAATTTTTTGTCTAATTTTTTTCGCTTATTTTTTACACTAAAACTTGTTGAGCCTTTCCAGGAAATGTTTATAATCTCTCTATTTCAATAAAAGATTTTTTTTTGCAGTTTTTGGTTGATATTTTGCCCCTTGGATCCGGGGATCCGCATATTTTTGCGGATCCGGATCCAGGAAGCCAAAATCTTACGGATCCAACGGATTCGCATCCTGATCCTAAGCACTGAACTCAAATTAAAATATTTAAACCAATTAAAATTTGAGGTAAATTAGTCAAGGGGTTCTGAGTTATGATCGGATATACAAATAAACAAACTATTTGTAGAGAAAACTCGAGCTCGGAAGCATTGAGTGGGGGAGGGGGAGAAAGTGAAGGTTCTCCCCCCTTGTAAGTGCTCTATGCATCTATAAATATAAAGTAGTAATCTCTGTTAGCTAGTAAGTTTGATCATAACTCATAAGCCCCTAGACCGATTTGTCTCAAATTTTGATTGGGGAATGTGGGAGAACCACGGGAATGTTCTTAGCTTGGTTTTGAGATTTACCCGGGGAAACTCTGGGCTCCCAAGCTAGTAATGTATAGTTTGACTCCCATCCAACGCCACTTCTTGCATTTATTGACATTAAAAGCTTGATATAATATCTGTATAATTGTCCAAAATTCAACAAAGGTGAGATAGAGTTAATCTGCCATGTTAGATCTTAATATTCATCCGTAAAAACAGCTGTCTCAGAAAACCACTTTTAAGAAGTTCAGAGGAAGAATTCAATTAATTCTTAGAACCACAAAAAATGTCGGATTAAGGCTTAATCCCCAGGACTAACAAAACAATAGTTCTGACTTCAGTTTTAAGTCAACAGTAACGTTTACACTAAAGAGCATGATTCAAACCTGTAATAAAAAGCCTTTTTATGCTCTCCTTCCTTCTGTTTAAAGACAGGGATGGGTCTAAGTGGTTTCACACAGCCGCGCACCCAACTCTCCTGAAATAATATTAATTTTACAGAAAATACTTCTGTTTAAAGACAGGAATAGGCCGAAGTGGTTTCACACAGCCGTGCACCCAACTCTCCTGAAATAATATTAATTTTACAGAAAATACTTCTGTTTAAAGACAGGGATAGGTCTAAGTGGTTTCATACAGCCGCGCACCCAACTCTCCTGAAATATTAATTTTACAGAAAATACTTCTGTTAAATGACAGGGAGAGTACGAAGTGGTTTCACAGCCGTGCACCCAATTCTCCTGAAATAATATTAATTTTACAGAAAATACTTCTGTTAAATTGTACTCCTACTTTTTTTTCACAACAGAAACTTTTACAAGTCAAAATTATTTTCTGGATCTTTGTACTTCTTTTCATCTCATAGAATTTAAGTTTAAGTTAAGTTTTTATTTTCAAAAATGTCTTTTACTATCTCTAGTTTAAATACTTAATATACCTATATAAGTATAATAAAATGTAAAAAGTATAATAAAAACAATGTTTTTTTCTGCTAGTTTTGTTTGAAGGAGAGATAAAGTAGTGCTTAGAAGGTAATTATTTGGACTGTATGTGTGCCTTTTAAGTATCTTATACTTATGCCTGATATCCAAGAAGCCAAGTGTTATGAATTTACAGTTCGAATTTTGCCCCCCCCTAGGAGCTCCTAGGGGGGGGCAAAAAAAAATTTTGCGCTTCGCGCAAATCTTACCCCCCCTAGATTTATTTCTGTATACGCCCTTGCCGTGTACCCAAGTCTCCTGAAATAATATTAATTTTACAGAAAATACTTCTATTTAAAGACAGGAATAGGCCGAAGTGGTTTTACACAGGCGTGCACCCAAGTCCCCTGAAATAATGTTAATTTTCACATTATATAATTCTGTTTTTATAATATTTTTAAATTGATTGGTTTGTTTCTCTTTTTGCTTGCGCAACTCTCTAAGAATGCCGCACACCACTCATAATTTTCGAAATCCGTTGAACACGTTTCCTAAAAAAAATAAAATATTATAAAATATAAACTATGTACAAATGTGGCGAAAGATAATCGATGACTATGGGTTGTAATATCTGAATGATTTCTTTGAAAGTTAATTGATTTTTTACGGTCTAAGTCGTATGTTGCAATTTTCTCAATTTGTATGGCCGCTAAGTTATTCGGTATGAGACGTCTTTAACAATTTTCTCCTAATAGACGCAACAGCTAGAAGTAAGATTAGTAGCGATCAAAAGCGCTTTTTTATCGCATTAAGCCTATACCCCCTTTCATTTTTCGCGAACACTCCCTTTAAATATTTATTTTGTATTCTCACAAAAATTCTTTATTTCCCTGAATACAGAGATAAAACATCCTTAAAAATTGGCTGTGCTCCGACCATACATTTCTAAGCAAATACTATGTCAAACTGATCTGAGAACTATTAAATTACTAATCTCGAAATTATGCTAATAGAAAAAATAGAAAGGAAATCTCCAAATATAAGTTGGATAGTTTTCTGAAATACATGTAAACTACAGGGTGTCCCAATAAACATGGGAATTCAGTGACGAATTCGATATCGTCTTTGTTATGAATTAGCATTGTAATACCTAATTTCAAAAGCCATAATATAATTTTGTCTGCTAGAGTTTATTTTATAAAAAGGGTAAAAGACTGTATAGATGTGTCTATACTGTCTCCGCAAGATGAACAGTGAAGACGGACAAGTTTACTCTAGTGCATACTGCAATTTTCTTGTTCTACTAAGTACAACCGTATGCAGTCAAAACAAAAAGAAACAAAATGTGAACATAGCAGACGAAACTCTTACTGATTACAGCTTTCTCAGTAGGTTTCACTATACTAAATAAAAGAATTATTTAAAAAGACGATATCGAATTCATCACTGTATTCCCATGTTTATTGGGACACCCTGTACTAAACATATAATTCTATTTCTTAATTAGTCTGATTTTCTGCTCGATAGAAGTTTGAAAGAGAGACATTATTACATTCTTTAAGAAATCAAACACCTCGAACTCAATGCGGGGAATTTTTAAATATGAATTCTTGACGTATCAAGATCTTCTTATGACGAAGGTCGGACTCCCCCAACCTTTTAAACAACAAATCCCCCCCCCCCCCCACTGGAAAATAGTACACATACTAAAAATCAAGCACAACAAAGTTTTAAATGATCAAGACTCCAAAGTCTTTCCTAGTTTTCAAGTGTTTAATATACCTTTGTCTGGTGTCTTGTTGAATCTAGAACTGTTTTATCTCCTCTATTCTTTCGAACCCTCTGCGACAAAATAACAATAATAATATCAAATTAAAACATATTTAAATCAATTATTTATTTTATGTGATTCATTTTTTTGTCGCATATGTTTTCTATAGTAAGAACATGTTTTGATAAATGATGAAATCATTTTTGTCATCTGGGGGATTTTTTAAGTGCAGGACAGAAGGGACAAGAAAAAAGATCACAAAGGTGAGGGGAACAGGGCAAGTTAATGCGTATTTAACCTTGAAGTCCTCCTCCTTCAGTCCCACCATCAACTCCTTCATCCTTCTGGGCATCTCCTGGGTGTCCAGGTCTCCACTAGGCCGGTTGTTGATCTTAAAGGGATTGTAAACGTAATTTCAGTTTTTCACCTTTTAAAACACGCACTTTAACTCCTTTTCTTTACCAAACATTTTGAAAAAAGTCCATTTTCTGCTGGAAAATATAAATCATTAAATCTTGGTTTCAAGAATAAAAAGATAATAATTTCTTCTACCTTCATTTTAACCAAGTTTTCTCTGTTTTGCCTCTGTTTCTCTGGATCCTTTGTTCCATGATGTTTGCAACCTTTTATTTTTCTACCCATCTTTTCTTATGTACACAAGACGTACAGTACAATACAGTCAAATCTGAAATTTGGGAATAATACAATAGGTTGCGTTTCTTAACAAAATACAAAAATGTTAGAAAAATAAACTTAAAAACTATACGAGTGCGCACTGCGCAGTAAACTGGTTTTTCAGAATGAAATTATGTTCTTGGTTAATTTAAGTCCATCGCCTAAAAATACTAGAATAACTTTTTTAAATACATAATCTTTATGAAATTTTATCACAATTGCAATTTTTTCAAAGATTCCTTTGATTCATTACGTTCCAAAACAAATAAATCTCAGCCAAAATAAACTCTTGATGATTTCTATACGAGTTGTTTTCTAAAAGGCTTATATCTGAGATCAACTGGTTTTATATCTATGTGTGAATAATTCAAGTAAAATCTTTAGGATTCACTTATGAATTTTATTATTCTATTTAATAAAGGGACTATACGAGTGATTTCGATTATTCCTCAATGCACAGATGCCTATGCCCGATTCACAACGGCACCCTTAACAGCTTTGTTTAATTAAGTATAAATGTTTATAAAAACTAATTATTTCGAATTGTGGTTTCTCTACAAATATGACTTGCGCATTTCTGATTGCAAGAAAACATATAGAAATGACCAAAATTAAAAACCTAAAACAACGACATTATCTTCTACATTATTGATCAGATAAAGGTTTCATGAATCGGGCATTGTCATTTACAGGGAGGGTCAATAGAAATAACGTTAACAGTCCCTTAAAGAGAATTTTGCATTTAGTGTTCCGCTGATGACAGTACGTAAGATCTGGTCTATGAGGAATAATGCAGTGTATCCGGGTGTCGAGTAACCCTAAAACAAGGTTTAATTATGAAGTATGGACTATGGAGGTTTTCTTAACACCACTTTTTTCTTCATCCCTCTACGGTGAGGAAAAAAAGTGGCACCAATATATATTCTTAATTTTACTTTAGTGTTTAAAAAAAAATAACTGCACTGTTTAACAAATTCGGATTACAATTTTTCAGAAACTTCATTTTTCGTTTAAATCGCCCACCGCCCCCCATGAAAAACATTTTAAACATTTTGTATTGTGGCTTATGCGGCCCATATCCCGAACGACATTAAATTGTGTAATTAATATTTACCCCAAAAATAAAAAGTAAAGAAACATGTATGCGAAAGAACATCAAAACTAATTAAGTTTATTAAGAAAAAACACTCACTAATACTTTTTAAAAGGCAATATTTTCTTACCTATCGTAGTAGAGGTTCTTAAGAAGTTTATTACTGTAATAATAAGGAGAATTAGATGGGAAAGGATAGGTAAACTCCTGTTGATGTCTTGTTCCCTCCTGGGGTAAACCAGCCTGTTGCTCCCCTCCTCCTCCTCCTCCATCATGATCAGATCTGTGATGATGTTCTTGAACTCGAGGCAGGGATGGATCAGCAGCCATTGAAGGAAAACTGAGATTTACCTGATATATGTTCTATTGAAGCTACTGTAAGCGTAATTTTATGGGACCCTGCATGCAAAAATAGCATTAGCAATGCCCGATTTACAACGGTACCCTTAAAACTTTAATCTAATCAAAAACGTACAAAAGTTTGAATAAACAAAAACATGGATATCTAATTCACACTTGATCAGACAAAGTTTTAAAGGGTACCGTTGAAAATCGGGCATTGCTATCTTTGCATTGAGGATCACTTGAAATTAGACTTACAGTCTTTTAAAGTTTCAATACGTACTTTTATTAAAATATTATATATATATGTGTACTTATATTAGGCCCGGATCTGTCAGTTAGGAAATTCATTAATTTACATTTAAAAATTATTCATTTTACCCAAATTCAGCGAAAAAAACTTGCGGGGAAATGATTATTTTCTAAGCAGGGAGAAGGGGAATGATTTTTCAGGAAATAAACACCCCTGGTACCTGATTATATACCTGACTAGGGTCAGCTTTAAGTTGAAGATTATTAATCTTTTTTGCTAAGGGCATTCCAAACTCTTCACAATCACATGAATCTAAATATAAATTTAATAAACCATAAACAAATATTAACAGAAAACACGTTCTTAAGTACTTTGAACATCTTGAAAATTCTGTACCTTATAACCTACTAACCCTTGAATAATAAAAGTAAAAATAAAAATAATAATTTTAATGAAAATTAATGCTCATGTAAAAAATTGATGGTAGGGGGGTTCCAAACATAAACTGGGACGGACCCAACAAAACAAACAATACATGTATGGCATATCATTTGAAAATAGTGTACTCGTTCTTGGTTGATTCACGCGTGTAGGAGGCCTTATTTTAATTTTTAAATTTAATAATAAAATGTGTTTGAAAAGGACCTTACTATGAATTGAAATTGTATAATTGTATTTACAATTGTTGAATATTTTGTTATCTTTATTGTTAGGCGAATTGAGATTTTCTCTGTCAGGATTTAACGAAGATCATGAACTGAGAATGAGTTGCGGCATTCAAAACATAAATGGTCACAAGCTAAAGTCGTCTTCGTAGTACGTTTGGGTATCGAGTAATATCAATTATTTATACAAAGAATTTTCCGATAGGTTAAATTTATTTAACAAAACCCCTGTCCCAGGGGCCAGGAGTTCCAGGGTCGGGGACAGAGGCATATTCAGGGGGGTAGGGGCTATGGAGGCTCACCCATCTCCCCGGAAAAGCGAAATCTATGAATTCTGGGGGGTTTTGGGTACCGACGGGTGCTGTGTTGAGCCCCGCACCCCCCCCCTCGATTAAATTTTGTTATGCCCCCACCTTCAAAAATTCATTAAATATGCCCCTAGTCGGGGCTGTAACCGTAGGCGGTTCCAGGTGGCCCTAGCCTCATGCTCGGCCCGGAAATTGTTGTAACCTAACCTTATACTAAACTAGCCGAATCCGATTCCTCCAGGCTCGTAGCTAGGAGTTTGTAAAGGGGGGGGGGCACAAATGTAAGAAATCCCAGAAATAGGCACTTAAGGTGCGCAAAAATCTTTTTATACTTTGTTAAACCAAAAAAAATAAAAAATTCGGATATTTTATAAAAATATAATTTGTGCTATTCAAAATTTTCAAAAATCGAATTTTGTTAGAGGCAAATTTTGATAATTCGATCATCCATAAACCTTCCTTGAGGTCACGTGAAGTCCCACAAAAAGCTGTTTTGACGTTTATTGTACACAAACAAACAAACAGACAAGCAAAGTATATATGTATATATATAACTGTAAAGTAATAATCAGTGAAGCTTCTCAATTTTCATATTTATTAATACAAATTGTTTCAGATCTCTCGATCCTCATCAGTCAATAAACATGAGTTAACATATATATAAATATATACAATCTCTTATTGTAGTGTGTAAAAAACCTTTAAGTTTGAATTTTCGATAGCGTATAGTGTGAACTCAACGCTGATAACATCACATCTATTCTTGGAAAAACCAGAAGACATATACACACTTTACTAGTCTGCCTTTGTCCGTTAAGTCCTATAAACTTCAAAACAGCAGAAACAATCGGGCCCTAATTTATTGTCAATTATTGAAAATTTTCAAAAAAGTTTGCTTTTTTATGAATGTTATATAACTTTAGTAGAGAAAATGGCTGATTATATTTATTACAAACAAAAAGCAACATTTTTAAAATTGATTTTCGATAAACTTCTTCTTTTCTTTAACTCAAGATACTTTAATTACAATTATTTATACCTGTACACTCGTGGTCTGCATGGGGGCGTTTAGTTCCCCGCCCATTTAACAATCTTGCTCCATCTCTGGTTCCACCCACGGCTTCACAAACCCTAAAATAAGGGGGGAAAATACAGTCGGACCCAAAAAAAAGAGTGATGTAGGTTTACGACTGTTACTGACTTAAAATAGTCCAATTGTACAGTGTACACTGACTCATTTCACTAAATAACTTGATTTTCAAGCTTATGGGGAATCAATTTAGTTTACAACAACATTAAATCCGCAAAATTTTATAAATTAAATATATATTTCAATGTATTGAGTAAAATAATAAATATAAAAGAGCTTTTACCTTTCAGCTGACATTCCGATACCAGCGTGGCAAGGACTCATATCTAGCTCAACAATCTTACAGTTTTACATGATATATCTATATCTGTAAAAAATTTCTTAATTTTCATTTATTTATCATTTAAAACATGTAAATCTTAAATATTTGAGGCCATATGTTGCTTTAAAATTACAAGTTTAATGAAATAGGGTTCAATATAAAAATTATAGAATAGGAATTTCTTTGTTTTTGTGGATTGTTAAAAAAATCCATGACTTAAAAAATTGAGGTGAAAATAAAGAAAAAGTTATTCCTAAATATCTCCATACTTGGCAAAAAAATAAGACAAAGTTTAATCTTTCTTCTCCTTCTTGCAGCGCCTGATAAAACACTTAAAACATTTAACAAAAATTAAAATGGCGACCAACATTGCTGAAACAAGAACTGCCAAAACATCCAGAAGATAATATTGAAACCAATAAAGATCAAGAACTGGACTTCTCATCTCTGAATTCTTTGGGTGTCTGAGAAGATATTCCAGCCACCAGACAGCATTGTCCAATGGATGAATTGGACGGTCTAGAATCATGTTCTGAAGATTCTCTACGGATTCCTGGTAGCTAGGATCCCCTAAGACCCTGCTGATGGCATTCATTAGTGTTTCTTCTGTAACATCCCGCCAGGTGATGACCACACCAAGGTTCTTAGTAATAGCTTCTGCTAAGTTAATTAGCTGATCTCCTCCTATTGGGATTCCTACAACTGGAGTTTTATGGCAGATTGTCTCTTGTATACTTCCTGCTCCACCATGGGTAATGAACAGTTTGACGTTAGGATGTGCCAAGATATCAGTTTGTGGAAGCCAAGAGGAGATAAGGACATTACTAGGGGCATCCTTCATAGACTTCTCCCATTTCCAGATCACTCTCTGCTTCAGTTTACCCAACACAGACATAAACAGATGACGCTTGGATTCTGGCATCTTAGATGCCCTCACAACAGAACCGAAGGATAGATAGATAACTCCGTGTTCGGCTCCCTCTACCCAATCCTTTAACTCTCCCTCTAGAAGTTTACCTGGAGAACAGCTCATAAGCCCTGCCTGAATGGTATTTGAAAGAACTGGTCTAAGACCATCTCCAAGAAATGGACTACCCAGATTAATAACCAAAGCTGGGGATTCAATCATTTCACCCAGATTAATATTTTTTTCAGATGGAAATACTTCTAATATCATCTGTTCTATTTTTGGTAAAACAAAGTAAGTTCTACCAAGGCTAATACCAAATAAAGCCAAACTATTAATGAACCTCTCCTGAAAATTCATATTTTGTTTAAAAGGAAAGAACGGTAGTGGCATGTATGCTGGATGAACAGGATTACCTACAGCATTTGCAATCCAAGGAAGAATATAAGGAATGGTTGTGTATAGAACTAAAGAAGCATTCTTCTTCGTTGATACATAATAGGCAGCTTCATTTCCCATCATAGGTATTGTCATCACAACATCAACTACTATGCTTGCGTCAGATAACAAAGTTTGGAAGTCTGGATGGGATAGAGCCGCCTTGTTCGACTCTATTGAGGTGTTGATAAAATCTAGCAGAGGGGCGTCAGTGGCCACACTATCATCCTGTATCGATGGGTATGCATAAAAAGAGGGACACAATGGTTTCAAAACAGCAGAGGGGATAGATCGGTTTAACCTTTAAATTTATAACAGTAGGTTTGGCAGATTTTGCTGTGTTAAATTATTATCGGAATCTGACCCTTGAAATTAAATGGTTTTTGGCATGGCATAATAATATTTACTTGTGATTAAAATGAAGAAAAAAATGATGAAAAAAAATATATTTTTTGAACAACTTTTTCTTAGATTTTCATTATTACAGGGGACATTAGTTCCAGAACTAACACTTGGGTAATTTAAAAACTGGGTTTTAGGATCTCAGCCCGTATTGAGAGTAAAAGTAAAAAGTAAAAACAGGTGCGGTGCATTGTACCTTCCCTCCCTTTATATGTAAAATATGTAAAATCTTAAAATTTTAAAATCCGAATCTTAATTAATTTTAATGATGAATTATGAAAACCCAAAAAGCAAGTATTTATAAAAATCGTTCTATTATTGTGAATATAAACCTTTTTAGCATTCACTTCCCTGAAGCATCGTATCTGAAATTTTCTGAGTCAAAGAGTCAAATCCAGAATCGTGAATTAATTCAGTTAATCCAGGAATAACCCTCTTTTCCGGGTTTGGGCAGACCATAGTGACGGTGTGTCCCCTTTTTATCAACTCCTTGGCCATCGGCATGAATCCTATTTTTACACTTTTCGAGCTAAAGGGTAGGTAGAAGAGATAATGGCCACCCAAGACAGGATTCACAAGAAATATAAACAAAAAAGCATTCATTTTGGGCAATTATCATTGCCTGTAGTCTGAAAACGAATCACTCACATGTAAATAATTGTGATGTGTAAAATCTGCAAAAACAAAACAGGCAATTTCCTAGTAATCGATTTTTTGGACCCTTCCTCACCGCCCCCCCCCCTCCTAACAGTTTTGTACATGGATCTCATGTGTGACAGAGTAATTTCCTAATATACGATTTTTGGACCC